AACATGATCTCGAACAAAGTGAAAATCAACCTCAACATGTCTTGTACGAGCATGGAACACGGGATTGATGACAAGGAAAACCGCACTCACTGTTGTCACACCAAATAGAGGAGGGCGATTTAAAGAAACACCTAACTCGGACAATGATGACACACCCAATGCGGTTCAACACAGACATTAGCAACCGCACGAAACTCAGCCTCGGTAGACGAGCGAGTCACGGTGGATCGCTTCCTAGATGCCTGTGCAATGAGATTAGGTCCCAAATAAATGAGAAAACCAGTAGTAGAACGACGATCATCCGGACAACCAGCCCAGTCAGCATCACTAAACGCAGTAAGAGTACCCAAATCTGTAGGATGCAGAACTAAACAGTAATCAATGGTACCACGAAGATAGCGAAGAACCCGTTTGAGAGCCTGAAAATGAGAAGTGCGAGGCTGATGCATGAACTGACAAAGCTTATTAACCGCAAAGGAGATATCTGGACGAGTGAGAGTCGTATACTGCAGACTGCCACACAGCCGACGATAAGTGGTCGCATCATTAGGAGACAACAGAGTACCATCCAAACGGGACAACACAACATTAGCCTGCAAAGGAGTGGAAACAGGTTTGCAAGTATGCATATTTGCAAGTCGTAGCAAATCATTGACATACTTGCGCTGAGAGAGAAGCAAACCCTTGGAAGTACGACGAACCTCAACCCCAAGAAAGTAACTCAATGGACCTAAATCTCGAAGAGAAAACTCCTTAACAAGACAAGAGATAAAATGCTGGACCAAACCAGAAGTGCTGCCTGTAAGAATAATGTCATCCACATAGACCAGCAAAAAACACAACTGAGACCCACGGCGATAGACAAAAAGAGACGGGTCACAACGAGACTCCACAAAACCCAAGGTAAGTAGAAATGCTGCCAGCCGAGAATACCAGGCCCGAGAAGCTTGCTTAAGACCGTATAAGGACTTATGCAGTTTACACACATAATGAGGGCGCACCGGATCAACAAACCCTTGTGGCTGAACCATATACACGGTCTCACTTAGAACTCCATTAAGAAAGGCATTACTGACATCAAGCTGAGAAATCGACCATCCACGAGCCAGGGCAACAGTCAAAACCGAACGAATGGTGACCGGCTTAATAACCTGACTAAATGTGTCAGTGTAATCAACCCCAAAAGACTGAGTAAAACCTCGAGCCACCAACCGAGTCTTATACCGCTCAATGGAGCCATCAGCATGAGTTTTAATCTTATAGAGCCATCAATTGCCGACAACATTGCCGGAGGAAGGAGGGGGAACTAAAGTCCATGTGTTATTTTTGAGGAGGGCGGAAATTTCATCCTTCATGGCATTCTGCCACTGAGGAAGAGATTTGGCTTGGGTAAAGGATGTAGGAGCAGTAGACAAGGTTGGGGAAACAGAGGTAAGATGAGCCGAGGGATCAAAGATTTTCTTGGGTTTGGGTTGTGGACGAAGTGTCATTGAGTGCTGATGGGAAGAAGGAGGAGGAGGTGGCGGCAGAGGACTCCAATCAGATGATGAAGAGCTGGAGGCAGGAGATCTAGCTAACGGTGATGAGTCGGGAGGGATAGGAGGAGACGAAAGAACTGGTGTACTAGAAGGAGACGAAGAAGACGCAGAAGATGACGCAAGCATACCAGGAGAACTGGTTACACGCAACCACGGGGTAGCAGGAGACTCCAGCAGCGAAGAAGGAGAACTAGAAATAGGAAGTTTAAAGGGAAAGAGTTTCTCATCAAACTCAACGTGACGAGCAACATAAAGACGATTATTCACCACATCAAAATAGCGATAACCAAGATGAGATGGAGAATACCCAAGGAAGACACACTGAGTAGAACGAAAGGAGAATTTATGTTTATTATAAGGGCGAAGAAGAGGATAGACAGCGCAACCAAAGACACGAAGAAAGGTATAATCAGGTGGCTGGTGATATAGTGTAGTGAAGGGTAGGTGACCTTAAAGAGGTTTACTAGGGTGGCGATTAATCAAAAACACAGCAGTTTCAAAAGCAAAATCCCAAAACCGAAAAGGGGTACTGGAATGGCCAAGGAGAGCAAGTCCAACGTCGACAATGTGACGAATTTTGCGTTCAGCAGTGCCATTCTGCTCATGAGTGTGTGGGCACGCTAAACGATGAACAATACCGACATCCTTAAAGAAAGAATTGAGAGAACGAAATTCACCACCCTAATCAGAGTTAACACTTTTAATGGTAGTGCCAAATTGGTTTTCTACGAGAGCTTTGAATTGCTTGAAAACATGGACAACATCACTTTTATACTTAATGGGATAAATCCATGTGAATAAAGAGAAGTCATCAATAAAAAGCACAAAGTAGCGATAACCATTGAATGACAAAATAGGAGCAGGACCCCAAACATCAGTGTGAATTAAATCAAGAGGTTTAGAGCTACGATGAAAAGTAGAAGGTAAACTGACCCTATGTAACTTCCTAAACAACACGCCTCACATTTATCAGTGGACGTGGACACAGAGGAATAAGGAAGTTGAAACTGCCTAACCAAAGTACGAAGAGTGACATTATTAGGGTGCCCTAAACGAGCATGCCACTGACCTAAAGAGACAAGATAAGCTGCTGGAGACAAGGAACCACGAGCAGGAAGATCTAAGCGATAGAGACCATTATCAGCCCGACCGCGGAAGAGGAGTTCCTTGGTTGAAAGATCCTTAACACAACAAGAGTCAGAATAAAATTCAAAAAAACAGTGATTATCACGGGTAAACTTTTGAACAGATAACAGAGGCTTAGTAAGAGAAGGAGCATGCAAGACACGATTTAAATAAAGAGGACGAGAAAACGATGGCAAAACAGATTGACCAACATGCTGAATAGGTAAAGCATCTCCATTACCAACTAAAATATGATCCGTACCAGTATAATCATTGGAGATACTGAGAGAGGACAAATCTGGTGTAACATGATCGGTAGCACCAGTGTCCGGATGCCAGGGAGTGACAGAAGGGGCATACTGCGCCATATGGGCTTGAGGAGACATAGTCGACTCCGAGTAAGACAGAAGAGGCAACAAACCAGCTGAAGGCGGCGCAGGGGAACCTGCCTGGGCATAAGCAGCCGACCGAACGGCAGGGGGTCGAGGAACAAAATTAGTATCAAAACGGCGTCGACAAGTGGCGGCCGTGTGATTCAAGATGCCGCAAAGCTGACACGTCTAACCCGGAGCGGGAGGAGTGTACCCACGCCGACCAGAAACCTGATTGCGCCGGCCGCCGCGTTGCGAGCGACCGACACGAGCGGATTGAGGCGGCATAGGAGAAGGTGGCGACTACACAAGCATGGCCGTGGGCTGAAGGACCGGCTGTTGGGCGTGAAGAAACACCTCATACGAAACTAACTGTCCAAGGAGATCTTGATAGGAGGGGGGTTCGGATCGCTGTTGCAGAGCTCCGATGATGCCATTGAATTCGGCACCAAGCTTGCGGAAGATTATGGCATTAAACTCCGCAGGAGATATGCGATGGCCGGCAAGCTGCAGTGTATCGGCGATGCCCTTCGCTTTGAAGAGGAGAGCCGTGACCGACAAGTCACCTTTTTGCAAGCTGTGGAGCTCCATAACAAGCTGGGTCTGTTAAGCATAAGAAAGAGTGTCGAACCCCTGCTGAAGAGCTGTCCATGCAGCCGCCGATGTTGTGCAACCCTGGAGAACGGGAAAGATCTCTTCAACAACGGAAGAAAGAATCCAAGAGAGGACCAACTGATCCTTTTGCTGCCAGATATCAAACTCAGGATTGAGTTGGGGCACGGCACCACTAACGGAAGGAAGAAAACATGGCAGTGCAGGTTCGGTGCCGTCGACAATACCGGCAACACGAAACATAGTCAATAAAGGAGTAAACTGAAGACGCCAAGACGAATAGTTGGCCCGAGATTGCAGCTTCACAGTAAAGGAATGATTGAGAGATTGCATACTAGGTTGAAGAATTGATACTGATGTCTATGAAGAAGATACCGGTGACCGAAGATGAGTAGGCTGGTCGGTGGATGAAAGGTCGGTGATAGTCATCGTTGACAGTAAGCAAGCAAAACTGAATTTTTTATGATTTTTTTTTTTTTGTTTTTTTTTCTCTTTTGTTTTATTTAGAAAAACACCACCCCGAGAACAAACGAGCAGCGGCGGCGACAACGGGAAAGCGACGATGTGTCACGGACAGTTTTTCTTCCCCACGAATTCGGGTGGTTTGCTGCAAAACAGGCTATTTTCGTAGATGGACATGGGACAGAACGGTCTAGAGCCTTGTGGAATTCTCTGGTCAAATCTTGAAGATTCTGGAATTTTCTAGAGAGGCCCGGAACTTTCTAGAAACGGGTGGAACCGTGTGGAAGCTACCCGAGTTTGCTAGAACCGTGTGGAAGATTCTAGAGACTTGTAGATATTTTGAACTTAGAATATTTTATTGTAGGAATTCTCTAGAATTCCATTATTTTATTATGTACATAGAATTCTCTAGAATTCTTTAGGACTTGGGGTTTGCCTATAAATACCCCATGCCCCCTTCATTTGTAATCCATCCAAGCTTTGAGTAGAGTTCTCAAGCATTCCTTAAGCTCTCTTGTGCCTTCATCGTTCTTTCACTTTCAACTTTTCTTAAGTTTTTCTTTGCCTCCGTTCTTTAAAGCCTTGCCTAGCTTTGCACGCTTTGGGGGTCTTAAGGCTGAACTAGCACTTGATCGTTAGTTGTTTTGTGCTAGTGCCGCACGGCCGTTACTTTGAAAAAGTAAGCCCGTGACAGTTGGTATCAGAGCCTCGGCTCGATACTTGGTGTGCTACATCGTCTACGCTTCCGTTTGTTAGTTTTCTTTCGTGCATAAGCTATGTCCAATCCTTCGGAGGTTGTTCGGGGTCGGAGCTTGAGGGGATCACGTTTCCGCGAGGTGGGAGGACCACCCGCAAAGGAAGCTGCAAGGAGAAGTCGGTCGTTAGAGAGCCGATGGTGGAATTCGAGAAACGGCTTGCCAAGCTAGAGCTTGCTGTGGCCGACCACCAAGACCGTTGGGATGAGCACCCTGAGGTGGTAGCGGGGGTCGTCGAAGCTCGCATGGAGCGATTCGCAGGGGAATTGCAAGAGGTCATGCAGCAAATGAAGGACAACATGCTAGGGACGCTCAACGAAATGGTGGAACGTTGCAACAAGTCGAAGGAGGAAAGCCTTGCTCGTGTTGCCGCCCTCCAAGACGACGTCAACCGGCTTATGGGGGAGCTGGAGACTTCTCGGGCAGAATCGGCGCGTCTTAAGGCACGGCTTGACGCCGTGGCCGTGAAAGGGATAACAGGAGCCGTAGGGACGGTTCCAAGGCTTGAGGCGCCCAAGCCGGACGAATATAAGGGCAGCCGTCACTTGAGGGACGTAGAGAACTTTCTCTACAGCATGGAACGGTACTTTGGGGCTATGAATATCATGGACGACTCGGTAAGACTCTTCCAAGCCTCTCTTTATCTTAAAGATAGTGCTTTATCATGGTGGAAACGTATGATGAAACCCGTGGGGGACGGAGACCCGGTCTTCACCACGTGGGATGGTTTTAAGGAAGAGTTTAGAAAGTATTTCCTACCCGTGGATGCGGAAGACGAAGCCCGGGCCAAGCTTCGTCGTCTGCACCATAGGGAAGGCCAAATCCGGGAATACGTTAAGGAATTTTCGGACTTGATGCTTGAAATTCCGGATCTCTCGCCCAAGGAGGCGTTCTTTACTTTCATGGACGGTCTCAACCGTTGGGCCAAACTTGAGCTACAACGGAGAGAAGTCCAGACATCAATCGGGCGTTAAAGGTGGGCGAGTCGCTTGTTGAGTTCCAAAAGAAGGATAGCTCCAAGGACAAAGGCAAGAAGCCGTTCCAAGGCAAAGGTGGGGGAGACAAAGGAAAGTCTTCCACACCCGCCAAACCGGCAGCCGACTCTACAAAGCCGTCTTCGAGCAAGGAGACCAAGGGGGACAAGCCAAAGAAGTTTCAAGGGTGCTTCTTGTGCGGGGGAGCGCACATGGCACGTGATTGCCCGTCTCGTTCGAAGTTGGCAGCATTGGCACAAGGTTTGTGCCAAGAAGAGGAGAAACGGGTCGCTTGCATGAAACGGCTAGACGCCGTGCATGCCAAGGCCGAGACACGTCAAGGCCGTCTTTACATGGAGGCATCGTTCGCAAATGGGTCTAGATGGGGCATGCTAGACACGGGGGCCGACACGAGTTATCTCACAGAAGAGGTAGCCCGTTCGCTTGGCGTCAAGTGGACACCTAGCAAAGGCCGTTTCAAGGGCGTGAACGGCGAATGGACGGGTCTTGTAGGCGAAGCCAGGGATGTGCCTCTTAAAATCGGCAACTAGTCAGGTACGGCCAATTTCTCCATTGCACCTATGGATGATTATGGTCTTGTGTTTAGTATGGAGTTTTTAGACCAGGTAAAGCCGATCATCGTGCCTAGCAATGACACGATGGTGATCCTCCAAGGCGAGAAGCCTTGTGTGGTAAAGTTTAGATGGGAAAATGAGATTATCCCTTCCCAGCTGAACAAGGGGCTAAAACGGGGTGAACACACCTTTGCCGCCATGGTGTTTGAGGAGGAACCATGCACAGAGGAGCCGGCAAAGGAGAAACGAATCCCGCCTCCCATAGAGCGAGTCCTTGTTGAGTTCAAGGACGTGATGCCCGACGATTTGCCCAAAGGTCTTCCACCAAGGAGGGAGGTTGATCATGCCATCGAGTTGGTGGACGGGGCGAAACCGATAGCCAAGGTGCCTTATCGTATGTCCCCTAGCGAGCTAGAGGAGCTCAAGGTGCAAATCAAGGAGCTACTTGAATCGGGTCATGCAAGGCCGTCTAAAAGTCCGTGGGGTTCGCCGGCCTTATTCCAACGCAAGAAAGATGTGCATCGACTATCGGGCGTTAAACAAACTAACCGTGAAGAACAAGTACCCTATCCCACTTATAGCGGACTTGTTCGACCGGCTGCAACGGGCACGGATCTTTTCCAAGCTAGACTTGCGGAAGGGATACTACCAAGTACGCATAGTACCCCGGTGATGAACTGAAAACGGCCATGGTGACGAGGTATGGCTCTTATGAATTTCTTGTTATGCCGTTCGGTTTAACTAACGCCCCAGGCACGTTTTGCACTCTGATGCAACGTGTGCTAGCAGATTTCATTGATAAGTTCGTTGTAGTATACTTGGACGACATCGTTATCTATAGTAACACAATGAAAGAGCATGTGGAGCATCTTAGAGCCGTTTTTCAAGTCCTTAGGGGAAAACCAGCTCTATGTTAAAAGGGAGAAGTGTTCCTTCGGCCTTGAGGAGGTGTCGTTCTTGGGACACATCATTGGTGGGGGCAAAATCCGCATGGATCCGGCCAAAATCAAAGCTATCGTGGAGTGGGAGGCACCCACGAAGCCAACAGAGCTGAGATCGTTCTTGGGGCTTGTTAATTACTATAGGCGGTTTATTGAAGGGCACTCCGCTATAGCCGCTCCACTAACAGATCTCTTGAAAAAGGGGCAAGCTTGGTGTTGGACACCAAAACACCAAACAGCGTTCGAGGCTTTAAAGGACGCCGTCACTCGAGAGCCAGTCCTAGCTCTCCCTGATTTTGAGAAACCGTTCGAGGTGTGCACAGACGCTTCGGACTTCGCCATTGGGGGCGTTCTCATGCAAGATGGTCACCCGATTGCCTTTGAAAGTCGCAAGCTGAACGAGACCGAGAAAAGGTGGCCGACGCACGAGAAGGAGATGTTGGCTATAATTCACTGCCTTAGAGTTTGGGAGCATTACTTGAAGGCCGCCACACCGTTCAAGATCAAGACGGACAATCGGGCAGTGAGCTACCATCAAAGCCAACATAAGCTTTCAAGCAAGCAAGCACGTTGGTTGGACTTCTTGGTCGAGTTTAAATATGAGCTTGAGTATAGCCCGGGGAAGACTAACCACGTGGCCGACGCCCTAAGCCGAAAGGCGTGTCTTTTTCCAATCGTTAGCATACCCGAGGGGACGCTGGTTGATCGCATCAAGAAGGGTCTTGAGCACGACCGTCAAGCCCAAAGGTTCATGGAGCTCGTGAAGGAAGGCAAGACAACACGGTTCTGGCTTGAGGATGGGATACTTTATGCCAAGGGGAACCGTTTGTACGTGCCCGCATGGGATGGACTTAGAAGGGAGATTCTAAGGGATTGCCATGATAGCCGTTATGCGGGTCACCCAGGTACGCATCACACACTTGCCTTTGTCCATGAACGGTTCTATTGGCCTCGCATGCAGGAAGACGTGGAGACGTATGTAAGGACTTGTCTAGTTTGCCAACAAGACAAGACCGAGAAAGACCTCCCGCATGGCTTGTTATCACCCTTGCCTATTCCGGAACGCCCGTGGGACAGCGTTTCGATGGATTTCATCGTGAGCCTGCCCGTTTCCGAGGGTTGCACCAACATACTTGTTGTGGTAGACCATTTGTCTAAGTATGTGGTCTTCATTCCCGCCCCAAAAGAGTGCACCGCGGAGATAACGGCCAAACTCTTTCTTAGGCATGTGGTGAAGTATTGGGGGCTGCCTACATCGATCATAAACGACAGGGACTCGAGGTTCACTGGCCATTTTTGGCAAGAACTCTTTCGTTTGCTTGGGACGGAGCTCAAGATGTCTACATCTTTGCACCCGCAAACAGATGGGCAGACGGAGCGCATCAACGGCCTCTTGGAGGTGTACCTCAGGCACTATGTGGCAGCCAACCGAAAGATTGGGTACGTTTGCTAGACGTTGCCCAATTTTCCTATAACTTGATGCGGAGTGAGAGCACGGGCAAAAGTCCATTTGAGATTGTCCTTGGTTTCCAACCAACTACGCCTAAGGACATTCTTGGGGGCTATAAGGGCAATAGCCCACCCGCATACAAGTTTGCCAAAGATTGGCAAGAACGGGCCGACGAGGCAAAACTCTACTTGGAGAAGTCAGCCGCACGCATGAAGAAATGGGCGGATAAGAAACGGACCCGTCGCCAGTTTGAAGAAGGCGACCAAGTCTTGGTGAAGCTTTATGAGCATGGACGGAGCCGTGGTCTACACAAGGGTCTCATGCGCAGATACGAGGGTCCTTTCACCGTTCTTAAGAGTGGGTTCGGTTGCTTACAAGCTGGAGCTACCCGAGGCCTTTTCAAGGCTTCATCCAGTCTTTCATGTGAGCTTACTTAAGCCATACCGCAAGGACCCAGAGGACGAAGAATGGAACGTTTCCTCAAGGGCACCAGCTGGCGTACGCGAGCATGAGGAACGGACCGCAGAGGAGATCCTTTCTAAGAGGATCGTTCGGGGCAAGAGCGGGGCAGCAACTAAAGAATACTTGGTGAAATGGAAGAATTTGCCAATGAGTGAGACGAGTTGGGAGCCAATCGAGAAGCTTTGGCAATACACCAAATTGATCGAAGACTTTGAGGAGAATCGTGCACCCGTTCCTATCAACATTGCCTTCGAGACTTAGGTGCATCGGGGCGATGCACCGTTTTGGTGGGGGAGGATGTCACGGACAGTTTTTCTTCCCCACGAATTCGGGTGGTTTGCTGCAAAACAGGCTATTTTCGTAGATGGACATGGGACGGAACGGTCTAGAGCCTTGTGGAATTCTCCGGTCAAATCTTGAAGATTTTGGAATTTTCTAGAGAGGCCCGGAACTCTCTAGAAACGGGTGGAACCGTGTGGAAGCTACCCGAGTTTGCTAGAACCGTGTGGAAGATTCTAGAGACTTGTAGATATTTTGAACTTAGAATATTTTATTGTAGGAATTCTCTAGAATTCCATTATTTTATTATGTACATAGAATTCTCTAGAATTCTTTAGGACTTGGGGTTTGCCTATAAATACCCCATGCCCCCTTCATTTGTAATCCATCCAAGCTTTGAGTAGAGTTCTCAAGCATTCCTTAAGCTCTCTTGTGCCTTCATCGTTCTTTCACTTTCAACTTTTCTTAAGTTTTTCTTTGCCTCCGTTCTTTAAAGCCTTGCCTAGCTTTGCACGCTTTGGGGGTCTTAAGGCTGAGCTAGCAATTGATCGTTAGTTGTTTTGTGCTAGTGCCGCATGGCCGTTACTTTGAAAAAGTAAGCCCGTGACAGATGGGAGAAAGCGACGACGCCGGCAGCAGCAACTGTGGAAGACAGAGGAAGAAGCGCCGACGACGCCGACGACGAAACACACGCCGAACTACGAACCACGCCGAAGAACCTGTGTGGGGCGGCGAAGAGCAGCAGCAGCAAGGGCGCGAACTACGAACCGGCACGGGAGCAGAAAGGGCACGCTGAATCGACGAACCGGCAGCAGCAAAACCAGCAGGACCAGCAGAACAACACGGCGGCAGCAGCAGGTGAACGGCGACAGCAGCAGGTGAGCTGCAGCAGCAGCAGGGGAGAAGAAGAAGAGGTCTACGACGATGACGACGAATCAGAAAAGCAGCAGCAGCAGCAGGAGAAGAGCAGAAGAAAGCGGCCGACGACGGCGGATGGAGTGTGAACGGCCGAAGAAGAAGGATTCGGCGGGGGAGAGAAAAGAAAAAAATAGGTTTTCTAGCTCGATACCAACTTAGAATAGGGAAATTGTATTTGATTCATAATGTGTTGTGCACAATATACAGACTATATATAGACAATAACAAACCCTAAACTAGAACATAATAGGAAATATACTAAATATTACAATAAGCAGTGATCCTATTCTTGAAAATCTTGATTTGAATTTCTCAGAAGAAGAGGATGAGTACATTGGGCAAGCTACTAACAGTGGACAATTCACCATTTTCTCAGCATATAACATAATCTGGGAGCCCCGAAATCAACCTTTTTTCTCTAAATTTATTTGGAATAAATTCATTCCTTTAAAATTTCCTTTTTGGTATGGAGGGTCCTGAATAATTTTGTTCCTTTGGCCAATTCATTTTGGAAGATAACTTTTAATTGTTTCCTTCAAGATGTCCTTTTTGTCTTAAGCATGATGATATAGTGGCCTAGTGTAATCTTGTTCAAAGGATATGGAATTATTTCGCATCTATGCTTGAATTCTCTCTTCCTAGGGTTGCGAGTCTAAAAGAATATTTATATGCATGGTATACGTTACCAAGTTATTCGGGTGGTCTTAAGATTATCATACTAGTGTTACCATCATTCATACTATGGGAAATTTGGAAGGCAAGAAATGACTTTATTTATGAAAATAAACACATTGGTTTTCAGATTCTAGTTCGGAACATAATTAATCATATCTCTAATATGTTGCGGGTTCGTGAAGTTATTGCTAAATCAATATCAAAATGTAAACACATTGGTAAAAAATATAGCCTTGAGGCAGAATGTAAACACATTGGTAAAAAAATGTAGCTTTGAGGCAGAAATAGAAGCATTGCTGACTGGCGTAAAAAAATATGAACAACTACAATTGAGGCAGGTACAAGTCAGGTCAGATAATAAGATGCTAATTGATATGCTGAATGAAGATCCTACATTCCCTTGGAAGAGCCAGACAAAACTGAAAGAACTTAAAGAGCTCAAATCAAGATTACGATTTACATGTTCACATGTATCGAGAGGTGAATTCTGCAGATTCTCTAGCTACACATACATCAGCTGGAAAAACACAATTCCTCTACACAATGTAACAATTGCCGAGCAAAGCAGGAGGATTGATAATCTTGGATCAACGATCTACACCTTACTTAAGATTAAAATAAAAGGTTTGTCTACAGGACTTAGAATAGTAAAGATAGAGCTGTCAGGGACTTTTAGAAAAATCTATATAAGATAGTCTCTTAGATAGTTTTTTTTTTAAAAAAAAATTGAATACTGATATGTCTAGGATTCTTAGATAATCTTTGTAAGACATCTCATAGTCTAATTGTTTCATATCTATCATGGAATTTTTTATAAACCTTTGTACGATAAACTTTTTTACTTGGTTAGTTTTAAGTACTGCCTTTGGTAATTTTTTTTCTTTTATTAATAAAATCGGGGAAATGCCCACCAGGTACCCCCTAGATTCTCTTAAAAAAAAATCCATGTTATTTACAAATATTTCCCTTACTGAATTGTTGGTGCTTCAAAGATGTGACAGTTGATCAAAACATTTAAAATGGTTCCGTGTAAAAGTATATAAGTACTTTAGGCTCCCATCTCTAAACCAATTGACAATGAGTGGGGTGACTTTTAGAACTTATATACAGTAAAACTTCTATAAATTAATAGTGTTGGGACCACCGAAATTTATTAATTTAGAGAATTATTAAATAATTGATAAATTAATAAATTATTAATTTAAAGAATTTATATGAGAAAAAAAAAGAACCATCACTAGATTACATGATTTGGAGTTGTCTATACATCTAATTTAATTAGGTTTTAAAACTATTCTGAATACTAAATATCCATACATAGTTAATAGCATCTCCAAGGACTAAAAAGAAGTATCAATAGTTCATATTGTACTAAATATTTATAGTTATATTATTATTTTTTCTTTTATTATTGATTTATGGTATTGTTAGGACCTATAGATATATAGGAGATTTTCTGAAATATTATTATCTTATCATTTTGTTGATTTTCTTTACTTTTTGTACTGGTCCCAAGTTGGGACCGGAGAAAATTATTAATTAGTAGAAATTATTAATTTATAGATTATTAATTTAGCGACATTCTATTGTACTGAGTCACTTCTTTTCACACAACAATACATCCTAACATTCTATGCATGTGCACGACAGGTTAAAAGTTACACAGTGCTTCCTCTATTTAAAAATATAATTCATTTTAGACTTTACACGTACATTTAAATAGAATTATTTAACAGTTAATTTATAAATTAAATGTCTTTTATATTCCTAACTAAGCGGTGCTCAATATAGGAGCGTGAATCAATTCATTACTTTCATACTGTGTTTGGTTGAAGAATTACACCCACACATAATAGTTCATCTCCAATCTTACCAATATCTTCATACCTAACATACATCGTGGGTATCACTCTTGTGCTTCGTATCATTCTATTCCATTTCATTTTATAGGTCAACCAGGCACTTCCTAAGTATATTAGAATCATAACAATTAAAGCTACTCGAAAATGAATTGTAGATATTTGTTGAACGTAAAATTAAAAAGTTAGTGATTAATTTAGCAAATTCTTGTATGGACCCGGATTTACTATTAAAGTGGCGGGACCCTTCCTAAAATCTGACATATCCATGTAGGGGTCTACAAACAAGTTTGTGAGTCTTTGTGTAGTTTCTAATAATTGCGTGGAAGTTTTTTAATTAATTTAAAAATATTTAATTTAAAAAAATCCAAATTTTAAAATGATTTTATCTCTTAATCTGATGAAAATTTAAAACATGTTACAAATGTAATTTATAGTGCTCGTCGAGATCTTTTAATTATTTATTTTAAATTTTGTTACTATGATTTTATAGTCTTGAAATTTTAATGGATCTACCTTATGAATTTGATGTATCTACTTTTGAATTATAATGGTGGATTTTTAAAAAAATTAGCACATATACTTTGAAATTATATTGTTGGACACCAAAACATTTACCACAGGAACATCAATTACAAAGCACAAGAAAACTTCAAAACTATATGCCAAGTACATTATAAAAAAAAGAAAGAAGTATACCATTGGTTTGAAACTACAAAAAATGACCATTGGAACATTGTAACTACATCGCCAAAATTTTAAAAAATAACCCTAGAAACTTTGAAATTATATTGTTAAAATTTAATGCAATACAGTTTTGAAGTCTTTGTGGTTATTAAATTCCTTCAACGTAGTTCTAAAGTTTCTGTAACATTTCTATCGAAATTTTAACGATATAATTTTAAAGTTCCTGTAGTTATTTTTTCAATTTCCTTCAATATAATTCCAAAGTTCCTGTAACAATTTAATAAAGTTCCCAAAATCCATGTGATTATGTTTTGAAGTTCTAACAATATTAACTAAAGTTCCTATATGTATTTTGTAAAATTCCAGCAATATATTGCATCACTATGCCCTGATCGTTATGGGGATGCCTATACCCTAAATCCTGAACCGGGGAGAGAAATATACGGTTCGATTTTGAGCATTTAAATTAAGTTAAAGTCGCGGAATCTAATCAAAATGTTTCAATTTATAAGTGGATTTTGCAATATTTTGATGTTTCAGCAAGATAGTTTCAAAGTTCTTGTGATTTTTTTTTAAAGCTTCAGCAATATAGTTACAAAAACTACACTTTAAAAAATAAGACTGTTAAAAAAAAAGATAAAAATCAGGATTATAAAATTAATTATAAATTTTTTTAAAAAATATTTAATATGAAGGTCGTTGGATAGATTTCGTCGAATATTATAAATTACATATATTACATGGTTCATAGTTTTTTACGAATCAACTAGATAAAATCATTTTCAAGTTTTGCGCCGTATGAACGTGATCGTTCAAACTGACAATAAAGTATTGACTGATGCTTTAGCTGGAAGGTTGGGGTTTCCTTGGCAGTATTATTTGCATATGCAAGAAATGTCATCCATCATTCAAAGAAATGGCTTTGGGGTTACACATATCTTTAGGGAGGCGAGTTCAGTTGCTGATTGGCTAGCAAAGAGAGCTTCTTCAGGGATCTCGGAAGTTCATCTATCTTTAGCTAGTTTGTCTTTGTTTGTAAGAGGATTGATGATCTTGGATCGGTTATCCTTCCTTATATCAGAAGTCGCATTAGATGATGTAATAATCACTTGTTGTAAAAAGACAAGGGTAAGACCATACTCTGCCCTAGTACTCTTTTTATTTAAATGAATAAAATCAGGGAGGGATGAAACTAAGGAATTATGTAGTATTTATGTCCATTCCTTGGGCAAACCCGTTAGGTGCAGGTACTACATAGTACTGTCTTATATAGTACATACCTCTTGGGTATTATCCCTTGAGTTTTGCTATGTCGGTTGGAACCTGAAAGTCATCCTATCCTCTAATTTGTTAAAAAAAATCATTTTCAAGTTTTGTATATGTATTTTAAAATTCTGTTTTTAACTTTGCAAAAGAACTCATAAATAAATAAAAATACAAAAAATCTCCAAAAATCCATCATAAAGTTGGCGGATCCCCGTTTGATTTCCAAAAGTTGGACACATATCAAACTTTGAAGAGGAGATCCACCAACGTTGGTGGATCCGGGTCCACTGTAGATGTATTTATTAATTTTTCATGAAATTTTAAAATAATTGATATTTAGAATATACACTGAACATAAATAATTTATATTTTGAAATAGATGAAGTAATTTAAGAATTCCTATAAATTATGAGTTTCTCACAATGGGTGACAATGGCTTTATCGTGATCAATTGTCATGGGCTAGATAGTTATTTCCCTCGTTGTTGTACATCACCTTAGATCAATTGGAGAAAGTATCAATGGGTTTTAGGTGCCATATTCATACATCGTGGGAATAGATTAGTGCTTCAAAATGTCATGGATCTCAGGATTCATTCAAAGTCAATTATCGTATCGCTGTCCAAGGTGATGAACAAGAAAAAAACACAGTTAACTTGTTCCAAGTCAACATTATATATTACTTAATCAAGAAAAATCATCATCCATCTCCAACTGGTAGGAAAAATATATGAATTCTTAGAGTTGAAAACCTAAGGAAAAAAACGCGGTTATAGATAGTTGTGACGACAACGAATCAGACTTCTTAACAGGCAAAAAGCTGTCGGCACATTTTGTTAATCAAATGGACGAATAATCAATCCCAAAAATTTTTGCAAATGGCCTCCCTGTAGTCTCTGTTTTGACACTTATAAGTAGCAAAGATCTTCCGTATAGAAAGAACATTGAGCTCAATAATCTGCATTCAAACTTGAGCAACTTGTGAGAGACACAGAAAAAAAAAAAAAAAAAATCAACAAGCTTACATTTCTGGGCTTGCATCAAAATGGCAATGCTGATGAGAATACTTGTGATTGCAACAGCAGCAGCAGCAGCTATGTTTTCCAACGTCGCCGTGGCGGCGAACTACAAAGTCGGATCACCGGGCGGTGGATGGGATCTAACAACCTCTTTACAGGCATGGGCTAATGGCATTACATTTGTGCAAGGAGATTCTATAAGTATTGCTATTACTCTTAAATTGTCTACTTCCACCGTCCCAAAATTATTGACCAGTTTCGATGAACTAAAAATCGAAACTGGACAATAATTTTGGAACTCACAATTTTAGATACTAAGTGCGTGAATTGAACTTTTGTAACCCGGGTTTTGCACTGATGAAAAGATCATTTCTTGTTTAATTTTTTTGGTTGCAGATTTTGTGTATACACAAAGCCATAGTGTTCTTGAAGTTACAAAGCCGGATTATGATGCTTGCCGGACTAATGAATCAATCTCGTCGGATAATAGTGGGGACACTACTCTTCCCCTGAATTCAGTTGGGGACAGATACTTCATCTGTGGAACACCAACTCACTGTGACAGAGGAATGAAAGTTGTCATCACCACCACCGCCGCCCCGCCACCGCCGCCAGGTGCTGCTACTGCTCCATCTACAACTCCTCCGGCAGTCACCACTCCTCCGTCAACAACTCCCACAGGTTCTCCCACGGTATCTCCTCCGGTCGTCGCCCCTGTTGAATCTCCCAAAAATTCTCCTAAGATATCACCCTCCAAGGCCCCTGTTAGGAGCCCGGCGAAAAGCCCGGCATCATCGCCTCCGGCTCGGGCTCAGGGGCCGGCGTCGGAGTCACCTGAAACTCCTCCTTCAGGTTCTGCCACGCCACCCTCATCAGCAAACAAAATCAATATGGTCAATGGGATCACAACTGGAGTTGCTTTTATCCTTCTCATGCTATTCACACACTAAAAATTGTTAAAAGATTTATCTGCAGAAAGAACATTGATTTGTTGTGACAGCTGATTTTTTTTTTTGCTCTCATCTCCATTTTTTGTATGAATACATTCTTTTTTCCATTGGTTGGGTTTGTGTTATTAGAAAAAATGTTTTACTCTGCTTCAAACTTTTCTAATTACATTTTACAGCCAATAATTCAGTTTATAGTTTACCGGGTGCATATAATGTACTCCCCGTCCCCGAAATTATGATTTGCCTTTTTAATTAAATTTGTACTAAAACTGAAAATTCAAACTATACAATAAGTTTGAGACGGGAGAAAGTAACTCTCATTAAAGAATTGGTCAACTTGTCCATGAGATCTTCAACAACCTCACAATCCTATGAAACCGTAAGTTGAACACAATGTATCGGCCATTCACATTCACAGTATGTGACCATTTAACCAATTTTTTAGGACGTAAAGTCTACTTCATTTATTTTATTATTATTTTGAAATAGAACATATCAACTTTACGATGAAAACTGGAATCAACCAGCAATGAGTGATGACCAGTTTAGAGGTGACAATCTAACATGTTTCTCTCACTTTACAAGACTCAATATAATCAGCACTTTCATGAGCTGCCAAATCGAATTCTCTAACCAACTAATCCAAAATGGATTAAGATTATGAAGGAACATAAATGTCTAAATGACATTAATAAGTCCCAATTTTTAACTATGCAGCGTAGGGACAAAAATTTACAAAAGCTATCATTTTCCAATTTTGTCCTATTTTGAACTAATTTACACACGTAAACAAGAAGAGGACCCCATTGTTCCACAAAAAGGTACGATCAATAATCCGATGAGTGCAAAAATATGGTATATAATTTTTGTGAAGCAAACTTCCTTATCCAAGATATGTCCAGCAGGATTTAAAGCTCCACATTCAGTATACACTTTATGCAAGACACAGAATGACGATCGTTATATCCTCAAAGCCATGTTTTACACAAAGAAACTCATCAGCAGTTCAGCACAGAACAGATTTATTTGCTACTCTGCCAAAGAAAATACAGAATGCAAAATGGATGAACTGTAATTTCCCATCACAGCAATACTCGATTCAAAGTGTTCAATCAAAGGCAACTGAAGTTGTTTCCACCCCAGATGAAGCAAAACTAATCAGTAGCTATGTTCCAGTTTATGTAATGCTCCAGGTAATACATCCAAGTAAGCATTAATAATGTGCCATTTTCACTCAAATATTTGTCTAACTTTTGATATTGTTTCTGTTGGTTACACAAACAGCTGGATGTTATTAGTATAGACAACGTTTTATCGAATCGAGCAAAGCTGGAGAAGCAGCTAGTGAAGCTCAGGGGAGCAGAAGTTGATGGTATAATGGTTGATGTGTGGTGGGGAATTGTAGAATCAAAGGGACCAAAACAATATGATTGGTCTGCTTACAGGGATCTGTTTCAACTGGTTCGAAGCTATAAACTCCGGATTCAGGCGATCATGTCGTTTCACCAATGTGGTGGCAATGTAGGAGATGATGTTTTTATACCACTTCCAGCTCGGGTGCTTGAGATTGGAGATGAGGACCCTGATATTTACTACACCAATAGATCAGGAAACAGGAACAGAGAATGCCTTTCACTTGGTGTAGACAATTTACCCCTCTTCCAAGGTCGGACCGCCATCCAGGTATAGCTCTACAATTTTTTACCTTTTTATATAAGGCTGTACTCCTTCCGTCCCAAAAAAAATAGTCTGTTTCTCGAACTAAAGTAGTACTAGAACTTAACAGAACTCCTTAATGGAAATTTTACATGGGATGGACGCTAAGATTAATTTTTCCCAGAATATGAGCTTTGGTTATTGATATCATAATGATGTAGATCTACAGTGACTATATGAACAGCTTCAGAGAAAACATGGCTGACTTTTTGGATACCGGAACTATCGTAGAGATTGAGGTGGGTCTAGGACCTGCTGGAGAGCTGCGATATCCATCATATGTAGAAACTCAAGGATGGAAATTTCCTGGAACTGGAGAATTTCAGGTTGGCTAATTTCATTTTCAGCGCGAAATCTGTTGTTGTAATGTGGCATCTCTGTCTATAGTCCTTAATCAAATTGACTGACATCCTGAATTCATTTTCTCAGTGCTATGACAAGTACTTGAGAGCAGACTTTGAAGAGGCTGCAAAAATGGCAGGCCATCCTGAGTGGACAATGCCAGACAATGCAGGAAACTACAATGACACGCCGGAAAGAACAGGGTTCTTTGGAGCAGACAAAACATATGTCTCAGAACAAGGGAAGTTCTTCTTAGTCTGGTATTCTAACAAGTTATTGATCCATGGAGATCAGATCCTTGAAGAAGCCAACAAAATTTTTGTGGGATGCAAAGTCAAGCTGGCTACAAAAGTAACAATTTCTCAATGCCACTTGAATTATTTTTTGCCATCAAAGTCTAAGTTAGTAACTAAATTTTCTTAGGTCTAAATTTCCAAAAAAAAAAACAGGTCTCTGGGATCCATTGGTGGTACAATGATGAAACTCATGCTGCAGAGTTAACAGCAGGATACTACAATGTCGAAAATAGGGATGGATACAGACCGATTGCCAGGATGTTGTCAAGACATTATGCTTGCTTAAATTTCACATGCCTAGAGATGCGAGATTCTGAACATCCGGCCAAAGCGAAGAGCGGACCTCAGAAACTAGTTCAACAAGTTAGTCAAGCAAAACTTCTGAACAGATCATGCTCTCTTTTTTTTTTTTCTTTTGACTGTGCTAAAGGTGTCTCACATTGTTATGTCAGGTTCTGAGTGCTGGCTGGAGAGAAAACATTGATGTTGCCGGCGAAAATGCGCTGTCAAGATACGACCGTAACTGCTACAACCAAATCCTTCTTAATTCCAGGCCAAATGGTGTCAACAATCTGATCAGAACAAAGAATTTGAAGCTGTCTGGATTCACTTACCTTCGATTATCAGATGAACTGTTGGGATGGAAGAACTTCAGGGTGTTTACATCTTTTGTGAAGAAAATGCATGCTGATCAGGTTAGTCAATTTTCCATCTCTTATACTAGAAACGCAAATGATCAAACTGTTCTTCATATTTCAACTTCTGACATTTTTTTTTTTTTTCCACATGACTGCAGGTCCATGATCCAGGATACATCAGCTTGCAACCTCTAAAGCCATCAAAACCGAAGGTTTCGATCAATTTTCTTCTGGAAGCAACTGAACCCATTGAGCCATTTCACTGGGAAGAAGAAACAGATATGAGTATTGGTGGCACAGTTTTTGATCTTTTGGACAGCCTCTTAGAACTATTTTTCCTAGGATAAACTGAGAGCAGAAACCCTGTTGCAGTTCTTGGCTAGATGCTAGAATGCAGCAAAATTTCTCTCATATAAACCGCCAGGACACAGAATATAATACAGCCACCAGAAAATTGGAATTCTTATTAAGTATAGCAATCGGATAAGTGTATATATGTAAATACAGGCAGCAATATCATGGCCTATGATCTTCATTCATTCTTTCTGACTAACTTCATTTCATCTCTCCCTCTTTAATACACACCGGAGGCAAACTAGTTAAACTGTTACATTTTGGAGATAAACCATCCTCAACAATCTTAGTACCTTATTTTATTTGTTTCATCAAAACTATATAGATTTCTCATCCCAAAAAATATAAAAAATTCAAATTATTTAGCAAAAATATAGTTCCATGTAGGGTTGTTCAATGTCGTTATTCGTTATATCATCAATCTTAACTCGATTTTTTTTTTTTTTTTTTTTTTTGGGATAAAGGGCTATTAGTATCTCCCTGAATCCATTTTAGATGCTTATAAATTAAGAGTTGTGCTCAAAGTTGAAATCAAACTCATCCGGATACTATCAGTAAATTAGTTCAAACTTGGTTTCTTTCGAATTTGATGAATAGAGTCAAAAACATTATAAAATCCTTAAATCAAACTTAAATTTCGTACTCAAATGTTAAAAATCATTTGTATTTCTTCTAAAGAAGCAGAATCTGAACAAAAGATATCCAAATTAAATAATTAAACGATAATCAGTAATTGTTAACAAAATTTGAAAAATTATTACATGTCCAAAAATTAATGTTTGGATATGTTCCATAACCCATATGACGCTTAATCAGATTGATTAGTGTTCGAGTTAATTTCAAAATGCTTTATTTATTAAAGTTTAAAGATTGGATATAAGACATTATTATTACACCTAAGCAGCTAAGCTTAATTAAGCAAGCAAAATAAACCAAAAAAGGCAGAGGTCAAAAATTGTTTCTAATTTGCTCCCTCCCTCTCTGTCTCTCTCTCTGTCTCTCTCTCTCTCTCTCTCTGCGTACTTCTCTGCACGTCTGTTTACCTTTGGGGAGCCATTTTCCGGTCTCTTTTTCTTCTCTCTCTTTCAATTCTTTGAATCTTTGCGCCTCCGAAATACCTGAAACATTCCAACGAACAAAAATCCCAACTGAATATCTGATTGAAGTTTTTTGAAACAGAAAAGAAAAAAAAAAAAAAAACCTTCCAACTTGCCCTGTAAATCCTTCCAAAATAGGCCCCCTTTTTTTGCTTTTGTTAATTCGTTGCATTGCTCATTCTTTTGGGGAAAAAAAAATTCTTGGGTTTCGAATTCAAGGACAAAGGGATTTCTGGGTTCTTGTCTTTAGGTCGGTTTGATCATTTGGTGCTTCTCTGCATGTGCATGGTTGTTGGGATGATTGTTTCGTTGGATTGAAAGGATTGAGGCTGATTCCTTCGGTGAATTTCCTTCAAATTGTTCAAATACAAACATAGGAGGAAGAATTTCTTCTTCTTCTTTTTTCTGGGTTTGCTTGTTCTGATGAAATGAGAAGGAACGTGTTATGGATGTGGAAGAGTGAATTGAGATTCAATGGAAGTTGGAACAGCTCAAACCATCATTTTTGTGGCATTTCTATGGGTTCTTGTATCCAGTAACTCCAATGGCGATAAGAAGTTCGCAGAAGCCACCGTAAGCATTGGATTTTCTTTGGATATTCAACCAATTCACGATGAAACGGTAATGAGAATTTTGCTTTAGATTCTTGGATTCTTGCCTGTAACTTTGCTGTAGGCTTTAAAGCCTAAAACAGAAAAGAGAAAGAATGTGTTTCTACTTGTATTTTTCTAGTATAGAGCAAAGGGTTTTTATGAATTGACTTGCTATTAGATAACTCGAAGTTCTCTGTCTCTTTTCTTGGCTGGAAGAAGTTGTACGCAGTGGAGCGAAGTCTAATGGTTGTTGGCCTCTTTTTATTGTGTGGTTAAGTGGTTATCTGATACAGAAGAACTTGATTTAAGGATCAATGGTTTAAAACCGAACATTAAAATCAATGGTGAAATCTATCCGTTATAATTTTGTATGTAAAGCTGTAGTAGGACTACTGAAAGTTTGACTGTTGATAAACTCTAGTGCAAGTGTGTTAGGATTTAATGTTGGGAACACAAAAGTTGGCAAACATTGTATGGCCTGTGCAATTCTCCATTAGCTGATTGAAAAATTCTCAGATATGAGATCAAGAAAATGTTATTCTGTGCAAGAAAACGTTGAAAGTTATTGTGATTGTTGTGATAATCAAGTTTAAACCACTATTTATCCTGATCTATTGAAGGTTTCCCTGTTTCACCGAACCGTAGGGTTTAAGATTTTGAGTAGAAACATGTAATCCTCAAGCTAGCATTTTGTTGGAAACTACCTCTTGCTGATTGCAAGCGCCTCCATTTGCGTGCATTTGATCCTATGCTTTCTGATAATGTATCCTTGTGCTAACTAATGTTGATTCTAAAAGATCTTCAGACATGTAGTTTCCTGTTATTTTACAGAAGCATATGTTTCTCAGGTCTTGCATCATGGAATTCATGCCACATAAAATTTTTGTAAGAATAATGATAGAGAGAAAGAATTTTAGAGTGTAATGTTTCTGTGGATAATCATTTCCTTACCATTTGATTCCAACCCGATCATTACTAATCTTGTTTAATCATTTCATTCTGAAAGTTAATATGTGAATATCCCTTTCTTCATCATTCACATTGCCTATCATATCTTATCAACTTTGATTCACTCAGGTTGCTCCTGTATCAAATAGGAAAAGGTTTCTATTAGCTTGATAGCCTTGTTTACATATTAATGGATGTTTCTTTACAGTGATATTTTTCATTTCAGGCAAATGAAAATTTGATCTACTGTAGTAGATACCTGAATTATTGCATTCAATGTCTTGAAAGTTTAGAACAAGTATCTCTGACATCAAGTAGGCATGGGAACGGAAACTTGGATTTTGATCAACTAGCACTGGGGATAATAGAGGAGATTGCTCCACATTCTCCTTTCCAAGAGAAGAAGTATCTGTTTGAGTGCTTAAGAAAGGAAATGGTTTTCGATCATGAATCTGGAGAAGACTTGTATTCTGATAATTGGTTCAACAAGTGCCAGGAGCCATTTTCTACATGTCCCACTGTTCCGAGAAGGTTCTTAAGACATAGAAGGCAGGATAGGAAAAGGGTAAAGCATGGTCAGGCTCCTTCCTCTAGAGCTTTATCACCAGATAATAGTCAAGCACTTCATGAGAATAAGGTTCGGCTTGGTCAGGCTCCTGCCTCTATAGCTGCGTCACCAGATCATAGTCAAGCACTTCACAGGAAAACGGTTAGGCTTGGTCCGGCTCCTGCCTCTAGAGCTGCATCACCGGATTATAGTCCAGCACCAACTTATTTTGTCCCAGCTAGCTCTCCCTCACCACTTTTGCAGCCACCTTCACCAGTTTTACGGCCTCCTTCACCAGAGCCATCTCCACCACAAGGAATCATCAAGCCTCGTCCATATTCAGGTGCTTCAGATCCTCCTCCAAAAAGACCAATCCATGAGATGGCTCCTCCACCAAGACCTCAAAGTAGCGTAGTTTCTACTTTCCAAAAATATGAAACTGCCATTATAGTTGCAGGTTCGGTTGTTGGGTTGGCCCTAGTTGTTCTGCTGGTTTTCTGCTGTATCAACAGGAAAAAAGATCAGGTCAGCCCGGTGAACGGACAAACACATGTAAAAAGAGATGAAAAGCCTCTTCTTAACTTCAGTGCCAGTGATGTTTCAGCCGGTACTAGTGATTATCTTGAACTTTCTTTTATACATGGAAATCATTATTCATTTTTCCAGTATCTTGACATGTTCAGTGTTAAATTTTGCAGCTTCTTCTCAGATGTCTCAAAGCTTAGGAAACTATGGTGACAAAAATCTCAATACTTCATCTGCTATTGGCAATGGAGCAATTGCAGTTGATTCATCAGCAGAAACAAAATCGGCTACGCCTGATGCATCTGTAAACACTACTGGATTATTACCTCTTCCTCCAGGAAGATCAGCACCTCCACCAGCAGCACCACCTCCTCCTCCACCTAAACCTCCTGCGCCTGCACCTCCACCTCCTCCAAAAGTTGTTCGTCCTCCTCCTAATCCACCAAAAGGTCCAAAACCTGCAAAGCCTTCACCTCTTGGAGGACATACTCCAGGAAAACCTTCTGCTGGTGATGGGATAGAGATGGCTGGGGACTCTGATGCTCCTAAGGCTAAGCTGAAACCATTTTTCTGGGAGAAGGTTATGGCCAACCCAGATCATTCCATGGTTTGGAATGAAATTAAGGCTGGGTCATTCCAGTAAGACTTCAGATGTTCAACAAGTTACTAGTCCTAAAACAGATGTTGTATTTGATAGGCCCGTTTAAATGTGGATTTTTCTTATGCTTTTTGCAGATTCAATGAGGAGATGATGGAATCCTTGTTTGGTTATGTTCCGGCAGATAAGGGCAAATATGAGCACAATAGAGGTACATCATCTTCCGAAGCTGGGCCTATGTATATTCAGATAATTGATCCCAAGAAGTCCCAAAACCTTGCAATTCTTCTCAAAGCATTGAATGTGACAACCGAAGAAGTATGCGATGCTCTTAAGGAAGGTAAGACTCATTTCGTCTGTATGTTGTCAGTATGGACAAAATTAGTTGTGCTTTTTGTCTTGAATCCCAAGTATTCTAGTCAACATATTGCTTGTCTCTCTATGTTTATTGGAACATAGGATGAAATGAAAACTACAAACGCACAACTTTGTAATAACTTGCTAGCTCTTCCCTGAGGATCCCGGATGGCACCAATCGAGGATGCCTCCTAGCCACATACACTTTTCGTTCTCAAAAACTTTTGAGGATAGAATGACTTATCATAAGACCTGGTTTTTCTGACAGGAGAGAAAACTTGACTTTAGCATCTCGCGAGCTCGTGTCTAAGTTTGTGCTTGTGTAACGTATGTAACAAGTCATGTTTTTTTCTTTTACCTTTAATAATTCATATTGCTGTCTACTATTGAATCAGGTAATGAGCTCCCACCAGAGCTAGTTGAGACGCTGCTGAGGGTTGCTCCAACTACAGAAGAAGAATTAAAACTTCGGTTATTTAGTGGGGATCTTTCTCAGCTTGGACCTGCTGAGCGCTTCCTAAAAGTCATAGTTGACATTCCATTTGCCTTCAAAAGGATGGAATCGTTGCTGTTCATGAGTTCTTTTCAAGATGAAACTTCCTCCATTGCAGAGTCTTTTGCTACGTTGGAGGTTAGTTACTACAACTGTAATGCTGTCTTCACATCATCTTATGAGCACAAAATGGATAGGAAATGTAATACCGTTGCCATCAATGCAATGGAAAAACTGCCACTGCCAATTAGTTTATCTTCATTTTCTCATATATAGCTGGGAAGTCAATGTAGTTTGTTTTTGCATTAGTTGCAGTGTTAAAGTAAACATAGAAACTGAAGTCCACGAAATAAGCTTGGCATTCATATGTTTCCAATTTAGGATCACAATATCTTGAATTTGTCTACAATTGACTATTGAAAAGGCGGTTGGTATTGGCCATGCAATCACTTGTTTTACATCTACGATTTCAGGTAGCATGCAAGGAACTCCGAAATAGCAGACTTTTCCTAAAACTCCTTGAGGCAGTGCTAAAAACTGGAAACCGCATGAATGATGGCACGTATCGTGGTGGTGCCATGGCATTCAAGCTTGATACCCTCTTGAAGTTGTCAGATGTGAAAGGAACTGATGGCAAGACGACACTGCTTCACTTTGTTGTTCAGGAAATTATTAGATCTGAAGGTCTGAGGGCTGCACGTAGATTAAGAGAAAGCCAGAGCATGTCCAGTGTAAAAACAGAAGATCTTGCTGAGGAATCCTCGCAGGAATCAGCAGATTATCATCGCAGCCTTGGTCTTGAGGTGGTTTCTGGTTTGAGCAATGATCTGGTGAATGTGAGGAAGGCAGCACTTATAGATGGTGACATCCTAGCAGGATCAGTTTCCAGTCTTGGACAATCACTGTTGGACACTAAGAACTTCTTAAATTGTGAGATGAGGGATGTTCAGGAAGACAGTGAATTCTGCTCCACATTGTCGAGTTTTATAGAGCAGGCTGAAGTTGAGAGTGCAAAGCTGCTAGAAGAAGAGAAAAGGATTATGGCTCTAGTTAAGAGTACCGGGGACTACTTCCATGGAAATGCTGGAAAGGACGAAGGCCTCCGCCTCTTTGTCATTGTTCGTGATTTCTTAATAATGTTGGACAAGGCATGTAAAGATGTAAAAAACCAGACAAAATTGCCTGCTAAGACATCTCGAAGAGAGGCTTTAGCACCATCACCTTCCCAAGAATCACACCAGGAGTCTTTGCCAGATCTTCACCATCGGCTCTTCCCAGCCATCAAAGAGCGGCGTCTCGACGACTCTAGTTCTGATGACGACAACTGATCACCTGGACCTCTATGGATTGGAAGGTAATCTAAACATTAATGATAATGATCAGAAATGAAATGAACAAATATTCGGCAACCTGTGCACAGTAAACATATTCCGTACAGGATTGTGTAACCTCCCTTCCCTATGACCTGAATTTGCTCATGTAGCAGAAATGAGAATCAAAGGACAATGGTTTGTAGTTGTAAACCTGGGTCAACGGTTAATTTTATAGAGGTTTTTGTGAGCATATCACTATTTTGAAAAATATCACATACTTTTTCAAGGGAAGTGAAGATGATTGTATAAAATTGCACCATCCTGGAAAAATATATCTGCTATAAAATTGGCATCTATGCTGTTGATCTCCATGTCTCTAGTTTTTATGCTGATATTTGAGTATGTTCACTCTGAACAATCAGCATGCTATACCGTCAGACACTGATTATTCTTGAGTCGGACATTTAAACAATCAACCAGTAAAGTTCTTTTTGTTGGTTGTTAATGTTAGGGTTCTGTTTTTTGCATCTTCTGACGGATCAATGAGGAAAGGCACTTCTGCGACAAGCTTTGAATAAGTTTATTTGTGTTTTTAACATCCAAGGTTCACATCATCTCCCTTTGATGATTCAGTCACTGTTGATTACTGTAATTGATCAATATTTTGAGCCCTCGAGCTTCCAAGACGAGAGAATGAAGATGTGTATATTAGACGGCAGTTAGAGACAACCTTGTAAAATCATGTCATGCACAAGTTTTGTGCTCTATATAGGCTTGCACTTTTGCTGATAGCTGTTGATAACCTCCATTTTTGCATCAGATTCAAGATTTTCTTGGTTTGAAGCATTGATCTTATTTTCCCCCAAAAAAGGTACATAAACTCTTGGACAAGACTGATGATACCTTGTAATTGTACTGAATTACAGTTTATTTCTAACAGAAACCAGCAAAAGTTGATGTAAATATCTCTCTACTTATACCTCTTATGAGCTTTTTGTACCACCATCTCGTTAAGATTTCACAGAAGGGTGAATTATTTTTCAAAGGTGAATGGGAGTATTACCGCATCAATAATGTTTGAACAGTCAAATATATATGGATTTCACCATATGTTAATGTTACCTTCAGCAATTCCAAGGAGCGTCGACACAGCTCTCATGTGGAAGGCCGGTGTGTTGTGTATGGATTGATATTCATTGAATAATAGTAAGATTTAATTTTGTAACTTAAAAAATTGTGTGTAACTTTATCCAGAAAACTCATTGGGATTGAGAAAATAAAACATTTATCCACGAATACACAATGCTTGGAACCGGGGAAGCACGTTACACTAGAACAGACAAAACTATATGGTCTTCAATCTAACCTGTTCATCACATGTAGACGGATTCATTAGATTCACTTCTGTAACACTACATATTTATTTGAAACATGCATCTAATGCCTTGCTATTTATCATTTCATTTAAGTGGTTCATATCGATTATAATGCCTATCAATTGGTAAGAAAATGTAAACACCAAAGTCATATGAATGATGGCACAAGCGAATCCAAAGCACTGGCGGATTTACAATGGGGGCCCTGGGGCCTCCCCCCCACTGAAATTTGGATTATTGCATAGTAGTATCTATAATTTTCTAACATTTAAAATTGATACCTACTTTCTTTTAAGTTCTGTTTGTGTTAAATTTTTTTTTTTTTTGAAAATTATTTAATATTGTACCTCGCATAAACAAATTTTATTGACCGCAAACACATTCTAGCAAGAAGAAATCTACGTTTACAATTTTTGAATTCATCCATTCATCATTGTATAAGAATCAACTGTTTTAGAATTATGTTTAGCCATTGCAAACCATATTAAGTATTTCATTCATAATACACCAATCACCATCTCGTTTTACTATCTTTAGTATCAATCCTATTTCCAATCCACAATTAGATCCGTATTTGTAAGAAAAATCCATGCATTTTTTTTAAAACAACTTTGTTACTCCCTCCATCCTATAATTATTATCCTGTTTGATTTTTCATTTTTAGTATCCCTCCGTCCCATAATTTTTAGCAGTGCCCCAGTGAAATTCATTTTTGGCTCTGCCACTGATCCAAAGTATGAAACGAGTTCAAAAAAGGATCATACACTCCTACTTCTAAGATAAGGGGGAATTCATCCTCATTATGAGTCTTGATTTGAGGAAGTCTTCCTTTTGAAATTATATCTTATCTGATCTGGCAGTGATCCATTTCGAAATTTCTACCAAAATCACAAAATAGTTATCGCGACAATAAAAAAAAAAAAGGAGGATCTAGTTCGAAGGACCAATTGATTATAATTTGATTTAAACTTAAATCATACCATACTTACACGCCCACAATTTAAAGAAAAGATTAACCACTGTTGTTAACGTTTAAGTACTCTTCAAAGATGCACAAAAAACAATCCTCGCACTTACCCCTTATATATATATTAAAAAAAAAAAAGAGAGAGAGAGAAAAAAATAAAGTACTATATAAGAAAATATACTCGCTCTATCTATATTACAAATCTCAAAATTCAATTTGAACGATTTTTTTTTATTTATTAATTTTTTTTTTGGTGTAGAGATAAAAAAACAATATTACATGATTGTGAACATAGGAAAAGGTTGAAAAAATTCATCAGCCTCAAATGTCAACACTACTGTTACTGATAGTTTTACCACCAGTGTAGTGTATGTGTACCTTTCTTCTGTATTCAATAGATGCGCCAGCGACAGAACCACTTAGCTGGTTTATGCTTCTATACTTTCCTTCTCACCCCATCAAAGAATCTAAAGAGAACAGAGAGGAAGAGTAGGGGGCAAAAAAAAAAAAATTAAAGTTAAGAGTAAAGGAGACATAAAAGTAAGATAAAGTTATAGCACCGTGTTTGACAAAAGACACTTTTTTCCAAGCATGATCTCCCTATTATTTTACTCAATTACTTTTGTTTTCAATGTGCATTAACAAATGTAAAAAAACCATAAGCCCTTTATACATTTCTTCTTCTCCTTCAACAGAGTTTGGCCATTTCAGGCAGATAGTAGAGCAACCAGCAGAGTTAAGACTTATTGTTCTAAGGAGAACCCACAAGACAAAACAAAAAATGGCTAAAATGTTTGGGATTTTCGCGTGTTTTGTGATTATAGCTCTGGATGTTGTTGCTGGTATCCTTGGGATCAAAGCAGAAGCAGCACAAAACCAGGCATGTTGTTTATTGTTTATTATTATGTCATTTCATTTGGGATGAATCTCGAGATACTCTTCTTCTCGTTTTAATAGTCTACTTTGTTTAACTAAAATCTGGGACGGGGGATTTTGGTATTCTAGTTATATGATGATGTTGTGTTAATCAAATTGGTGTTATGTGAAATTAATAATTTAACAGGAGAAGCATTTGAGGCTGTTCATATTTGAGTGTAAGCAACCAAGCCATGATGCATATATGATGGGATTAGCAGCAATAATACTACTTGGGATGGCTCATGTTCTTGCAAACTTGCTTGGAGGATGCAGTATTTGTGCCACTGATGATCTTCAGAAACCTTCCTCCAACAGGCTCTTGTCTATTACTTCCCTCATTCTTGCCTGGTGAGTTGGTTCATTTTTATTTTCTTTTCCTGTTTTTTTTTTTGGTGGAAAGAAATTAAAAAAACATAATCAAGGATTGAATCTGAGTGATAATGATTAGAAATCTTCAAGAGTGCATTGCCCTTTGTCTTGGGAAACTTTATTCTAATTTATTTTTCACAGACAAAGGAGGAGAGTTTTCACTTACGGAGTATAATATTTTAGGTTATTAGGCCTTGGTCTCCTTCATTGTACCAAAAAAAAAAAAGACTGAATGATAAAATTTTAAAAGTTTCATAATTTACAAGATAAAATCTTCATAATGGAAAGTGAATGGGAAAAGAGAATGAAGTTTTGGCAGAAGTTTGAGAAAATTTGTTTTTTTATTCGTTTTTTGTATAGTAATGTGTCAAATGGAATTTTTTTTATTTCTTTTTCTTTTTCCAATTCTGAAGAAGTGATAGCATAAATATATATATATATATATATATATATATTATGCTAATGTTTCTTTTTTTTTTTTTCCTTTTTTCTGGAATAAGAAGAAGTAGAGATCACTTAAATGCAGAGTTAATTTTCACTTATTTGAAGAAAACTTTATAAAGTGATTATTATTGCGAGATCTGAAAGGGAATTAACTGGATTACGGTAGCCATTGATGAGCTTAAAATTGATGAAATTCTCACATGATACGATTAGTTGTAAGCCCAATTGATGATATTTTGGTTAAGGATGATGCCTTTGCACAGTAAGCCTTTTTCTTTCTAATTGGGCACTTGTTTTTTGTTCTGAATTGAGCCAATTTTTCTTTTGATTTTGGGAAATGGTAAAATTACCGAAAATTGTTGGTGAAATAAAATAGTCAATGATGATAGTTGTCCATCATTACGTCGGCAGTCATTATAGAGGAAGTGATTTTTTTTTTTTTTGTGTGTGTGTGTGTGTGAATTAATGATTTGCATTCAATCTCGAAGTGATCTTTCATCTTTACTTCTCTCGTTTTTTGTTTTCATTAAATATTTGGTGAAATCTGTCATTGCTTTTGATCATCGAGGATTTTTATTTTTTGAAAGAAAGAAGAAAAAAAAAACCCTCATGTCTCATTGGAATTTCTTTTTCCATCACATCCTCATTCATGAATATTATTAGGAGATAATACATATTATGAGGGTGTATATCTTTATCTTAAAAATAGTCCGAATTTCAAGATTTGTATTAGTTTTACTATAAATTTCAAATCCCAACGTGGCTTTTTTTTTTTTTTGATAGAAGAAGTATATAGTATTCATTCTCTTCCAACTAAGTTCTCATTTTAAGTAATGGATTTTCTGCCTTTTGTATCTTACTAATATTCCTTACTAAATTCATTTTGATTAATTTTGCACATAAATTTGCAGGCTTGTACTGGCAGTTGGTATGGGTTTGTTGGTGATAGGAACAATATCAAATAACAAGTCAAGGGCATCTTGTGGATTCACACACCATCATTTCTTCTCCATTGGAGGGATTTTGTGCTTTGTTCATGGCCTTATTTCTGTCGCATACTATGTGACATCTACTGAATTAAATCCTTAGTCAAAATGATCTTAAGTTACCTTTTCGGTTTTTTTTTCTTAATCTGGAAAAATGATGCAATGTGTTGTAAAACTTCTGTCCATTATCCAAGTTTTGATAACCTTCATTTAGATACCTTTGTAACTCTCATGGAGAATAGAAATTTCTGCGTGGGAGATTTAGCCACACTACTTGATGAGGACTTTTGGTCTCATTTCTACACTTAAAAAAAAAAAAAGTTTTGCTGTTAAAGTAGTAGTAATTATTAGTATCTCTCAGATCTTCAGTTTGTAGGCTGATTCTTCTTCCGGTATGTCTAAAATTGAATTTTCTTTTATTATTATTACTAATAAACTTTTTTGTGCACTACGAGATTGACAAATACTCTTATGTGTTTTACGCTTTTAACGATCGAGCTAGCGTACCATTTCCCTAGAATGATAAATTCGTTGATTATCCTCCAAAAACTGCCATAAGTAATGAGAATAATGATAATTGGTACTCCCTCTGTCTTAAAGTTATTGTCCTGTTTGAAATTCCACTTTTAATACAATTTAAGCTAAATATGAAAAATCCAAACTGAACAATAATTATGAGACGGGGGATTGTGAAATTAACAACACTAGCTAGGAAGAACCAATATTAGTATCATCATCAACCAAAAAAGGCACCACCTCAAGGTAAAAATGTGGTGAGGACACTTGCACCAAAAGTTCGTGATGATAATCAGTTCAAGCCGCTTAAGATCATTAGAGACAAAAACCCTTCCCAAAAAAAAAAAAAAAAGCGCCGTCTTTGCAAAATTATTCCGATCAAAGTGGACAATCAAATGAAAAATAAACCAATTCCCGACCAGATGCAATCCCATAACACAACAAAGAAAATGAAAAGAAAAAATGGAAGGTCATCAATCAATTAATATAAACCTGAAAATGCATTGTCGGTCTCTCCAGCGGATCAGAGTTCACTTGATGAATACGTCTTTTAACCATCCCCTCATCGTCAATGTTGAACCGAACTTGTCAACGATCTTAACCAACAAAAATAAGGTCCTGAAACCTCTATGCTACGAGGCTGACAAGAGTTTTCTCATCAGATCAGGAAAATTAATTTATATCCAGATGATGATAATATATGGTTTGGGCCTTTGGGGGTATGATCGCGCACGTATAAAGATGATCCCCTATTTGGTTTACCTTGCCTTGATGACCTCAAACTAGATTTAACCACACTTTGGTCTCATTTTTCAGGCCTTTCTTTTTTTTTTTTTTGTCCCCCTCTTACACTTGCTTGGTGAATACTCTTAGTTCTCTCCTTGGTCTCAAATTTATATGTTGACTTTCGGTTTGGTTTCTAATGAATTGTGCTTTTGTTACAATCATGTTAGTAATAATTTGCCTTAATAATTTGTTTTGTTTTTTACTGTTTTATTAAGTTTTTGAGTAAGTCTTTTGACGTTGTTTTTTGTTGCAAAATTTTAGGATATAGTAACATAATTTCAGATTATGTGAGCGGTGGTTAAAATAGTAGTAGGAAGTTATCAAGTAGTGGAAATAATAGGAAGTTAGGAACTATACATGTTTTCCTAGTATATAAATAGTTAATCATGTACAAGGAGTTATTTGCTCCCAAAATATTAAACATCCAAGATTCTCTTCTCTCTCTCCTCCGTTATTTTTTTTAAGACTTCTTTTCATGTCTCCTATACTACAAAGTGATATCAGAGCCAAAATCTTGAGGGGCCTTTGAAAGGAGAGTAACACAAGCCATCATGCATATTTTTTATGATAGCCTATGTTGCTGAAATATTTTTTTTGGGAGGCCATAGAAGAATATTTTGCATCGTTGCTTTTAAATCCAACGGTGGCACATATAAAGGAAAAAAACACAAGGAGAGAAGGACAAGAAAATCAAAGGTTATAGGTTATCTTTTCTCTGCCATTATGAAATTGTTTACAATCAAGGTCGTCTGGGATGATCTCAAAATATCATAGAAATAAAATATTTAAGAGCTTGCAAATTCCCATCCTTGACTTGAGAATTTGAGAAGATGAAGATAAAGAAATCAATTGAAAGGGAATTTTCAGAATTCTCTCAAGAACAAGGAGGAGTTTTCATATGCAGATGATGTGTTGCAGAAGTAAGATTATTGTGATGCTGAGAAAGATGACAAATGAAAGGTTCATGAAAAAAAAGAGTTATACGTAAAAAAATATTAGATATTTACAAACACTAAGGGCCCGTTTGATAAAACTTAATTTGGGTCTGAAGTCTGAAATCTGAAGACTGAATCATAAGTACTGAATTGATTAAGTTTGTCGTGTTTGATAAAAACTAAAATCTAAACACTGAATAAAATGTCTGAAATCTGAAGTCTAAACATTGAAATTTAAAGTATCTCGATTTATAATTTTATCTAAAAAAATAATTGATGTATACGAAACTATGATAACAAAAATAATAATGTTAGTATTAAATAATGTAATAAAAATATTTAAATTTTATTATATTATTATTTTTTTAGTTAATAATAATGTCATATTTTATCATTGTCAAAAAAAATCATATTTTATGGTAAAGATATATTGATCATGGAATTTAATAGATTTTAATTTTTATATAAAAATAAATATTTATTAAATAAAAAATAATTTACATAAATTTTAATTTAGAACTAGACATCATGATTAATAAAAATATTTCAAGATAAAATATCAAAAGTAGAAACATAAAAATAAATAAATAGAAAAAAAAATGTCTCAAGAATTCAGTTCAGACATAAGTGATAAGCCTATCACTTATTTTTAGGCTCACATTTGTACTAGTATTTCAAACCCACTTAATTTATTAAGACATCCTACTTTGAGTTATCAAACACACTTAAAATTTAAGTCTTTAATAAATTAAGTTCTTAAGCAATTAAGTTGTTATGATAGTGTATTATCAAACAGTGCTAATCAATTAAGTACTTAATTAATAAGTTTAAGTGCTTAATTGGTTTATCAAACAGAGCCTTAGGCAAGGAGGAGTTGTTAGTAATAATATGTCTTAGTAATTTTTTTTTTTTTTAATTGAGTTTTTGAGTAAGTCTTTTGATGTTGTTTTTTATTGCAAAATTTTAAGGATATAGTAACATAATTTCAGATTATGCGAGTAGTGATTAAAATAATAGTAGCAAGTTATCAAGTAGTGGAAGTCATAGGAAGTTGAGAACTATACATGTTCTACTAGTCTATAAATAGTTAATCATGTACAAGGAATTATTTGTTCCCAAAATCCTAAATATGCAAGATTTTCTTCTCTCTCTCCTCCGTTATATTTTTTAAGCCTTCTTTCTATGTCTCTAAACACTACAAATCATGTCTCGAAATAAGCCATATTATTATTATTATTATTATTATTGGCAGAATCACCTTTCTTGGTGTAAAAAAAAGTTTTAAGAAAATAAAATCTTATTAAACCAAAAATAATATGACAACGAGATAGAGACATATGGAGTATTTATTATCCATTTCTTCTAGCTTCTAATACAATTCTGCTAATTTGATGTGCGCTGTAATTTGTGTTGTCCCCTTTTATATCACTCTTTTCCCTCTTTTTTTTTTTCTTTCAATAAAGGAGGCACTAGTGATCTTATATATATCACTCTTATCTTGTGACTAATTATAATGCACAAATTAAACTAATTTTAGTGTTAATTTATACCTTACGATTAGGATACTCGGTGTGAGTATTATATTATGCGGAAAAAAACTAAACATAGATATAGTCCCTTGCACCTTTTGTGCTCAGACACAACTATACAGAAGTCTATGGAGATCCACCTCAAAACAAATTGGCAATGAGGGGAGTAGTCCATGAAGCTTATATATTGATACTCATAGTCTCCCAACACTGATGTGGGATTAGACTCTTTAATACTCTCCCGCAACCCCAACGTATTTTTTTGGGTTGGGCTTGTCCTATTTTTTTCAGCCCAGGCACCGTCTCACGTCTCAGCCCTATTTTTTTGTTGGACTTTTTGGAGTCCGAATGTCAGCGGGCTGGCTCTGATACCATACAGAAGCTCATGAGGATCCACCTCAAAACAAATTGGCAATGAAGGGAGTAGCCCATGAAGTTTATATATTGATACTCAGAGTCTCCCAACACTGACGTGGGATTAGGACTCTTTAATAACTTGAATATCAAAAGTTGTATACATGGATATGAACATAAATGTAGTGGATTTGGAGTCCATGCACAATGCGCAAGAAGCTATTAAATTGTGTACATTGAATCAATATTATATAAGAAGGTCACACGCAGAACCACTTGATAGGCGGCCGGGCCGGCCTGGCTATGTCACCACCCATCAATGGTTTGGCGGCATGGATTCCGGTGAGAGTTGGTCGGCAATGGTGGGGTGCCGTTTGGTGATCAACGGTGGAGGAGAGTAGAGACGTGGCGCAAGGTATGAGAGGACTCGATTAAGACTATATATTTAGTTGTTATATAAGTCATGACAAACAAAGGGAGAGTCTATGCATTATAGGAATTATTATACTCTGTAATGCAAAATGAAGTAGATTCTGAGCATACATTAATTTCTTGTACTTACAAATTAAAGCTGCTGCATCATTTAATTTGCCTTTGTCCCTTTGTATCTTTGTCGTTGTCAATCTAGCTACTTTTCAAGCAAAAAAAAAAAAAGGAACTGAATCAGACAGATGGAGAATGACCAAAAAACCAATACTGCTTTTTTTTTTTTGGTTCACTTCCCAGATTTGTTGTTTACTTCTTCAATTAATGCCATCCTTCCAAACACACATGAGAATCAACCAAATCATTCTAACACAAATTTACACACACACACACACACACAGAGATCATCGTATACCAAAAAACCAGAAAGAGATGAAGCAAAAGAAGCTGAAAACGATAGTGCATTAGTCCATCTACAAGCATTAATACTACTACTACTAAAATGGTTGCCCCAAAAACCACTAGAATAAGTTAGGGTCTCAAAACGACACCATTTTAATTAGGTGAAATGACTAAATATATAGTACTACTACCACGTACTCTCTATATACGAGATCAGGGGGCACTACTACGTAACTCAGAAACCAAACAAAATTCTCCCACGCCTTTAGTAATATTCTCGTTGAAGTCGTGATTTTTAATCAAAAAGATTAGCCGAAAGACCTGCAGAGAAAGCGCAAACCTTCGTTTCATCATATTGAAAATTAACCACCGGACGCCGGCGTTCAACTTCCCCAGCTGATCTCCCCAGACGGCGGCGACGTCATCATCAGCGACAGGGTATTCGGGTTGCTGACATTTGTGTAGTAGGACCGGCGGCTGATGACGTCAAGACTAGGGTTTGAAACGGGGGGAGGAAGATTAGGAGGAGGAATATTGATGCTTCTTTGAGGCGGCATGGCTTGAAGGATTAGGACCTGTGCCTCCAGGAATTTCACATAGTTGTAAGCTTCTTCCAGAACTGTCCCCATGTCCATTTTCCTGCACGACGGCAATACTTCTCTCAGCCGGCTGATTTTCTCACTTATCTTCTTCCGGCGGTGCCTTGACGCTTCCGGTGACTTGGAGTACGGCATGTACCGGTTCTGTGACGACCACTGCTGCTGGTCAGTCGACGTAGTGCCGAAGATGTCGCTGAGATAGCCGGCGCCTCCAGCTTGGTACGGCGCCGGAGTGAACGCCATTGACAGTTCCGGTGAGTCGACGCTCCCGCCGACGACTGTTTTGAAGACACCTCCGCCGCCGCCGCCTTCTGCAGTGGAGAAGAAGTTTATGAGCGGCTCAGTTGGAACTTGGGAGGTGGTGCCGACGACGACGTCGTTGTTGTTCTTCAGCAGCTGAAAGGCGAAGTCTTCGTCGGAGTCAAAACGCTCTGTTTTGGGGATTTTGATGTCCTGGTGGCGGTGATAAGGTCCGGCGTATGGATGGTTGGAATTCCAAGGAGGAGGAGTTGGCGAAAATTGCTGACTGTACCCATAAGGAGGTGCAAAGTAGTCTTGGAAATGAACGTCAGAAGGAGAAGAAAAAGAAGAACCACCGGAATAGCTGCTCAACGTCGCCATCGCCGAGGCCGGAGGAGTAGGCTGCAGAAGCGACTGGAGAGTAATCTCCGAGAAGCAGCCGTTGAGAAAAGCTTCGTCAAATCCCATAATCGTCGTGGCAGCTGCTGCCGGATTCTCAACAACTCCGGCATGATAGTTTCGCAACGGTAGCTCTCCTCCTCCGCCGGGAATATACGACGGAATACCAAATTCTCTCTCCATCTTTATCCTCTTGAAAACCAACCTTACACAAAACAGCAGAAATCCATCTGGAATCTGGTACACATATATACAAGGAAGGGGGGAGGAATTGTGAACGTGGCGGATTCGTATTGGATCAAAAGAGAATGATGAAAACGGATTGGCGGCCTCGGGAGACAGGTGGCAGCTCTGGGGGACAGAAAAATGTTTGTTTTTGTCTGTATAGAGTTTCTGAACAATATTTTTTTTTAACGTGTTTTGGGGTATTCATCTGAAGGACGAGAACTGTTGGATGAAAAAATGGGAGTGATCGGACGGGTGGGAGAAGAGGCAGCTAGCTCGTGGGACTGACAAATCTGTTTTGAGTTTGTTGGATCGAATATACTGTATTACCCTTCCGTGCTATGGAAATGACGTTTAGATTTGAGGGTTGAAGTGGTAATTGAAGCATTATGGTACTCCTACTCTTTTGACGATTAGCATCACGGAAATGATGATGATCTTCGTACAGAAACCTGATTTAGTCACCGAGTTATTTTAATTAATTGCACTAGAGTTACCGCATTCTCCTTCTAGTAAGTACTCCCTCCGTCCCATAATTATTGTCCAGTTTGATTTTTCATTTCTAGTTCAAATTGTACTAAAAGAGATATCTCAGATTGGACAATAATTTTGGGACGGAGAGAGTATAATTTTTCTTTTTTTCCTTTTTTCTATTTCATTAATACAATTTCTAGAAAAGTTTTTCCCCCATATCTACATCTACAGGTGATGCATTATCAAAATAAGTTATTATTGTTCAGTTTGAATTTTCACTTTTGTACTAAAAATAAAAATCAAAATTAGATAATAATAATTGCGAGACGAAAGAACCATAAGTTTCTCTCTTAATTTTGTCCATTTAACGAAATTTACTCAACTCATCCCTCTAAATCTTGGAGAAAAATTTAAGTCGGTGCACAACTTTATACTATCATTTTTTGAACACGAATGTTGTGTTAAATAAATCAAATCATCACCATCATCATTCTTGCAACACATCCACACTAATCAGCTTCGACCAATACCCTGTCCGCTAAAAATATTGAAATTGTTAAAATCAAAATTGAAAACTATCCTATCCTTGAACTCAGAAACAAATGCTCCTCCAACACAGAATCCTAACAATATAGATATACAGTAGATATTTGATTTCATATTATACTTCCACAGTCTGATCATCCCATTTTAATAATCCCATTTATTGAACCAAACATTGAAACAAAATTGACTATTACAATGAGAGGCAAAAAAAAAATGGGTAGGCAATTAGGGTTGAACACGAAACTATCCAAACTTCTTCCTTTGAGCCATTTCCATTAAACTCCAATCGAACCATCTATCTACAACTAATGATAAATTACAGATTATAATCAAAGCTAGAGAAAGAATAAAACTAAAATAAGGGGCCAAAGAGAAAAGAACCCAAAAAACGGAAAGTAAAAAAAAAACTGTACACAAGAATGTCGAGGATTTGGAGCATAACGGATATGATTTCTTCAACGTCCATAGAGCCACCTGCTCCCTACCTCAAATGCAGCAGCTGCAACTAAACTCCTAAATAAAACCATCCGAAAAACAATGACTATGGTTAGGGTAACAACCTAATGCTGCTGCTGCTTCTACATGCCTGCCTGCCTGCCTGCCTGCCTGCCTGCCAGCGAAAAAATTTCACCTATCCCAAATAGCTTGAAAAATGGGAGGTCTGTGCTTTAACCAATGCACCATCTCCTTGTCCAGGGACGCCTTATTTAAAACTGCATCCAGCATAGGAGTGCCAAAAACTTTGGGATTACTTGTAAATGACCATATTTTATCCTTTGGCCAAGGTCTCTGTGGCTGCTTCTCCTGCCAAAATCAACGAAATGGTAAACCATGAGCATTAATCAAACATGATAAAAATCACAAACTACGTCCAGAATGATTGTTGTCAACATTGTCAGAACTTGAAACCAGGTGAAGTTTCAATTGGTGATGCATCTTGCATGCAAACCTATCTAAGATTATCTGGGTTTGAACTTTGATTGTCAACATAATTCACAAAACGGCAACCAGACATCATGTATAATAAACAAATAATACCGCTTCAAATTTTAATTATTCTTTGAGATCCCTCTACAAATAATCTTAGTCTTACTAAACAAATTTCATTACCGAAACTTCATCAAAATCTTATTATGGCTACCCATTAAATCAAAATAAATAAGACTGCTGCAACATACGATGATGCAAACTAGTTGATCATAAAGCACAATCAATGGCTGAAAACAGAGGAAACATGAATAAAGCTCACCATTCTTGAAAGCATAAACTTTACAGTCCTAGGACCGTAGACACGCTGGCGCGATGGCTTCTGGGCTTTTGCATAAAAGGAACCTATTTCAGGCAAGGACAAGCAGCCCCTGCTTGCTCTAGCTAGGCTAGCATCTGGCTCAGCATTAGCTTGGTTATGCCAGTACATCAGCTGCCCTAAACAATAATTCTCGCCATATGTTTTGCAGAACTCGTGCTCTTGCGAGCCCAGCCTATCAGCCAACTTGGGGCAGAGGTCAAGAGGACTAATGTACACAGGTGGAGAAGTAACAGTTTCGTACTCCTGCAAAAGGGAACACTAAGGTCAGAAAAGGAACAGAGCCATTTTAAAGCAGTAGAGTTGGCAAGTTTATAACAAAGATAAAACACGGACCTGTATCCTTATGAAGCATTTTGTATGGGCATATATATGGATCAAATCAGCAGCCGCATCATTACGGCACTTGTATGAACAAGTAATATTTCGTATCTCATCTCGCAACCTGCACAATGAACGAAATCCAATGGCTGTTACTTCTCAATAGGAAGTCAAAAGGATATTTAAGGAGCAAATGCCACTCACCATAACAAAGATTTTCGAAGACCCAACCCAATATCATCCGAGCTGGAAGGATCATGCCGAAGGATATTGGCCCTAAGTTCACTTAGCGCGCCATCTTCGACATGAGGAGCTATGCATTGAAGAAGACCTTCCACAAGGGAGTCCTCTCCTGTCCAGATATATGAAACTACTTCGCTGGGGGTGAGCCTCCGTAGTGGAGGAGGTGCACTTTTCGGATCACCGAAAACTCGTCTCATCACATACCTCACCTGTAAAAGAACCATAAAGTAAAAGAAGTAAGTTGCCCTTCTCCGTCTTTTGCATTTAAGAAAACTCCAGACTCAAATAGCTATAAATTACCTTATCAAGGGTCAGAGCCAAATTTTGGAGCCTCTGGTTGTATACACCCTCAGCCTGCAGCATTCAAGAAATTGGGAACCAGTGATTCCAGGCCAAATCTTTTCCAATTACTTGGGCACAAAAAGGAAATTAAAGCATCAAAAGCATTTCAGAATAGCAATCCATATGAACCCTAGACAACATGTACCTGAACTTCTGCATCACTCTTTTCAAAGTCCAGGGAAATCTCTGCAAAGTACTTCTTCTTCTCTTCCAAATTATGCTTAAGGATCTCCTTTGGAAGCTTTGTCCTCTCAAAATTTATGAATCTCACCTATATAACAATACGGATGGTGAAAAAATGCAACCTCAAAATTCTAAATCTAAATAGAAAGGCATAGCCATAGTCTAAATACATACCAGACGAGCAGAGTATGCAATCAGCCAATCTGGTAACCCATCAAGCAAACAACTGCCCAGTCCAGCCTCTCCCAGGGCAATGTAATCTTCCTCTGAAACTGAATTCAATTCACAAGCTTCTAGCATCAACTGGTGCCGGTTAAGGATTCCATGGTACTCCTTCAGCACCTGTACCGCAAGCAGTCAGAACACAAGTCACAGATAAAGCTTCATGATACCGTTCAAACAAACTACCATGAAAATTCAAGTTTCTAATAGCTACATGACACTAAGAAAATTGGCAAAATCTTCTCCTCGTAACATGAGTGATCTAAACAACAATTAATGCACCATGCCTGCAATAGAACAGAGATGAGCCATCACAGGAATCAGTAGAAGTAAATTAATTGCACTCGACCTTTTGATAAGCCCCTTCACCAGTTAAATTCAGATAACTCCCACGGCAAACCTGGCTGCCACATAAACAAACTGAAGCTTCGTATTCTTCTTTACTCTGCAGGAGTTCAACGGAAATAAGAGTTCCACATTAAAAACTTAGGTTAAAATTAAACTCCAGAAGTAGTTCACCAAGTATTTTTCCAGAGAGAGAGAGAGACAAACCTCAGTTACAGAATTATAATCAAAAGTTATCTCTTCACCATATTGAATTGGGCGTACAGTGTAGATACCAATCTGGTATTGTCCATCAACAGCAGTGACCCTGTGCTCAGCGAATCAGTAAGGTATTAGCAAACAAACTCATCTGAGATCATCATAACACCAAAAATGACAACAAAACAAGAAAAAGAAAAGTTTAAAAGTAACTAGAAGTCCAAAACATGACCTAACCATTATTCAAGCTTCAAACAACACATTATGCAATAGTGACATCTCTTCTGAAGCAGGCAAAAAAAAGGGGGAAACATGACTTCTACAATTAGATTCTCAATGAAACCAGTAGACGGCCCAGTATTTGATATGTTGGGAACAGTTTCACCCACATAACGGCAGTATTTGACAGAGAAGACTTTAACACAGTAAATTGATATGTTGAGTCTATAAGTACTATTTTCCAGCAATCATTCTAGCCAAAAGACATTTCCTACAATATCAAAACCCATAACCACAAAAATTCCACAAATAACTGTCATGTGAATGGCAGAGACCAATGAGGTAAGAAATTATCTATACAACTGACAACTTACTTTGCTTCACAATTAGGTCGACAAGAATGGCATATCCTGCTAGCATAATTTGCTTTGTGCATTGCATCAACGACTACTAGATCATACCCATCAGCATCACCCTGCAAAATTAAATAGTCCTCAATTATTAATACAGATGAATCCGAGATGAATCTGAAAAGCACCTAAAGTTACATCCCTAAAAAGGGAGAGAAAAAACAAAAAATTGTGAGGACACAATCAAAAAATTCCAGGTACTAATATTTGGTGAAGGTAGAAGACCTTTGGCCTCTCAAGATGTATATTGTAAAACTCCGGTGCTGGATCATTGCTATCCTTCTGCAGAGACCGGATCCCATCTTGCTTCTCGAACCACTTCCACGCAGGATAAACCTATGAATAATATGATGAGGAAAACAAAAACAAATGTCAATTATATTCAAATCCAGGATGTATTGAAGCAATTTATTTCCACGGGTCATGATACATTTCACAAGTCTCAAACTAAGAGCAACGAGGATGAGAAATACTCGTCTGCAAAAAGAAAAATAAGAGGCTGGGTATAAAAGCTTAACAAAAAAGAAAAATAACAGGGACAAAGCAGTTCAAAACAACATGCATGCATGTGAAAGCAGCAAGCAAAGGATGAGCTTCAAAAACCTACAGTCACCACTTAGAATAAGGAAGCAAAACAGGTTAATCCAAAATCTGAACAAACTGATATATATTAAAGGACCCTAAAGGAATTTCCCTCAGTCATATTTATTACATGAAAAATACGCCATGCTATGCATTAAGTGTTTGGTATAAGTTAGTTATGACTCCATTCATTTCGCTAGAAATTAGCCATATGCGTGGATTGTGGCTATCCACCAACAAATTATAACTTAAGCAAGTAAGATGGTTCCACAATAAAAAGGTCCATCTTTGGCCCTAAAAGAAATCAACATCTGCGTCTTTTGCAATAGATCAAATCCGGCTGGCTAGATATTACTATCCTACAACATATATTTCTTCATCTTCAATCACAGCTGTAACAGTGCTATCTTTTTATTCTCTGTTTCCAAGGGTCAATTGACAAATACAATGTCAGCTTGCATCCATTTTAAATGGATACTGTAATAAGGTATCCAAACCTATTAACTTGTCAGCAGAAGGAAATTAAGACAATTACATCCGGAGCAATTACTAGGATACAAACTGGCATGCAAACAGAAAGTCTTAAAATATATCAGGAAACACTCGAGACATTAACTCCCCTTCTAATAAAGTCCACAGTTACAGGTCACTATACCCAAGTCAAGGTATGGTTACTGTGTTAGATGAAGTAAATACTATCATAATAGCTCATGCCGAAATACACACCATAAAAAAGATGTGAAGCACTGGACTAACCTCTCCCAAGAACTCAACAACAAAATCATCCTCACCAAAGCCACCTTCTTTGTTGCAGACCACACCAAGCCCCTACTCAATGAATCAAAAGGAAATATTAGCAATAAGCAGGACTGAAAGATGTAAACCCCCAACCCCCCAATGCCCTGGGCCCAAACAAATAAATAAAGAAAAGAAAATTAACGGAACACAATCTATAACTCATTGAAGAATTTCAGTAGCAGTTACCTTTCTATATGCCACGTATTTGTCATCAGGACGACTGTCAATGGCCTTGAGAATGTACTCACATAACTTTACAGTTTTCCAATCCTCATCTTCCTCGGCCGTATCCAGGATCTCCTCAAACGCGGGCTTTAATGGATACATCATAGGAGTATTTCCTGAACCAGTGAATTTCCTAGCTTGCTTGTTTAGAGTGCGAAGGAGCACATCTTCAATAAATACATGTTTATCAAGGAGAGACCATTCCGGTTCCTCAGGCATAGAATCAAGAAGAAGATTATGAGTATAAGGGTCAATCCCATAAACTTCCTGTTCAATCACCTCATCTCCTAATTGCTTTCTTGGTTTATATTCCTTCACCTCGGGGATCTCCATATCAGACTCCTCAGTACCATTTCTCTGTGCATTGAGCTTCTCAGCATAATCCTCAGGTAAAGAAACATGCATCTTTCTTTTAACTTCTTCCTCATCCGCCACAATAACATATTGGTCAATGACTTCATACTTTCTGGTGACAGGAGGAACAAGGCTAGCCTTCGTCATTCGAGCACCCCATTCTCGTTCATCAACCAAAGAATCAAGCCCATCGTCTGGTGGGAAGTACGTGTCTTTTCTTGACTCCCTGGCTCCAGTTTCAGACTTCAAATCAGGGTCACTTTCAGTGTCAGAAGCAGTGCTCTCACTGTCAGTAGCATCAGACGATCTATCCAAATCATCAGATGTTTCACTTTCCGAGTCCATAGATTTTTTGTTTAACCTTGATAAACGCCTCTTGATTTCCCTATCAGAAGCATAGTCAACATACTCTGAAATACCATTCACTAAAGCAGAACCATTACTCCTGTTGCTGTATTTCTTTTCTGTGACTTTCCTCCTATGCTTAGCAGAAGTTGAGGCGAACCCTGGAGGAGAATCATCCTTCCGACTCTTAACATCTCTTTCCAAAGATGACTCAGAACCACCATCTAAACTTGTAGCCAGACGAATAAATAATGTAATAATTCGATTAATATTTCTGGCATCCCCTTGGTTTTTTGATCTGGTTCACCAAAAAATATATATACATAAATAACGATATAAAGCCAAGTGGAAATAAAACACTGGAAAAAACCAAGAAACATCAAATTTTGAAACACGATAGTCATTCAAAGTTTTATGCAAGAGTTTCAGATACCATATCAGAAAGCACAAAATGCAAATATTGAATCACAAAGAAAAGGCAGGAAGAAACAAGTTATAGTTAAAATTGAAAATTGGACATTCATTTGCAGCGAAGGCCACAAGCGAATAGACAATTTAACCTAGTAGACAGTAAGAGTTGAAAAATTATTCCAACAATCGAATAAGAAGATTTAGCTGCCTGCTGAAGGGATCTACAGAAAAACTAAGCACAAAAGGAAAGAAGAAACTCACTTTATAGCCTCCCTGCACATACGGCGAATATCCTCCTTGACACAACTCAAACCGCGACCCGCATAATAACCACTCCTCATCTTGTTTTCAATCTCAGCAACCTGTTCAACAAGAAGAAAATATAAGACACGAACCTGCAACAGTATTATTTCTAAATACACCAACAAACAGACAGGCAAAATGTACCTTAGGTACAAACAAATCAAAAGTGTTCTCCTTCATTATGTCCTTTAAGCTCAAAGCAATAAGTCGCTCCATCCTCTTATACCCGTTTCTCATAGCCAATCGCCTCAAATGGGCATCCCGGGATAAGATTGACGAGGATTTTCTAGCGTCATACAGTTTTGAGCGTTTATACAGGCTCTGTCGAAATAATCGACTGGCGGAGTCTCTCCTGTCAGAACTCTCCAAATAATGTCGGAGACCACTCGAATCATCAGTATGAATGTCCAGACCAGGCAACATTTTAGAAGCCAATGAACTTTTATCTGTCACTTGCATTATACTCCTTGTTTTTGAATGAGTTGCACGGCTCTGTATCCAGTTAATATTTGGAAAACTCAAGGCCAAATCTTCTAACTGGCTGCAACCCCTAATATCCACTGAAGATAAACTGGAGAATGCCTGAAGAACTTCTTCAACCGTGCGAGAAGAAATGCCGGTGCAACCACGTAAGACCAAGGCACATACATTTGCTTTATCATAATCTTTCTGCACGCAAGAAGTAAAATCACTGATAAGAGATCTATTTCAAATAAAGATAATCAAGCCCAATCATATGAAAAGGCCATAACAGATTTTAATTTTTTTCTTTTAAAATATTATCAGATACTATGCAAATGTGTAACATTTAAATACAAGAAAACAATCTAAAACGGGAAGATAAGTACAGAAATGCGCGAAGCATGGGAACTGCAATTATACATACCATTATATTCTGCAGCATAGCATCGTTGCACTGGGGTATAGAAGACAAGTCTATTTGTCTAGATGCTTTCTTATAGCAATTGAGCACTGATCTCCAGATTTTACAAGTCATAGCAACATTAACGAGAGATTTCATGTCAGCTCTCAGAAAATGAAACACTCTGGCCAGTACACGTCCTTCCAACTGGACCCAGGGTCCAGCCCCAACTTCAGAATCTGAACTTTCTTCTCCAAAAGTAGCAGTATTACAAACATCATCAAAAGACAATTCATCCTGCAGAGGTACATCCTCCATCTCACATTCATCCTCGCTACCGTCCATATGTTGTCTCTTGCCAGTACGCAATTGATCTTCAAGGAACACAAAAAAAGACTTAAGTGTAAATGGCATACTATATGAGCAGCACAAAACACTTTGAAGATCCAGCAATTCCGAACTGATGCTAGAGTAGGATATATCAAGTAGGACAGAAGTTGCTAGGAAGTAAAGCACGTTGTCTTCAAAATAACATCATTAATGACCTCAGTGGATCTAGTCACATGCACAAACTCCGCTTAGGGCACACATGGTATTCTCATCCACATTTCATGTTTAAGAAAAACCTCACGACTTATATAAGGGCATCCCAGTCTCTTAAGTTACTACATACTATCAAATTTCACCAAAAGGAATTCACATTATAGATATCATTTATACATGCATAAGAGATGTGCATCCAAATTCAACTCAGGAAATTAAAACAAAAATGAGCACCCTAGTTGACAAAAGCCTGTTCTGTAAAGATGGGGTGCTTCATGGAGACAATGACGTATGAACACCAGTAACTAGGTTCTGCCCTAAGTGACAAATGAACAGTAACCAGCCATAATCTCTTCTCCGTTGAACTTGTCATGCAGACAAATGCATTTATGAGATTGCAAGGAAATTAGAATTGTTTATCACCAATTCACAGGTGATTAAATTCAAAAAAAAAAAAAAGAAGAAAAGAAATAGCACTCCGAATGAAGACTATATAACTGAAACCAGCACAATGGAATAGGAGAATAATAGCGATTTGCATGACCCCAGAAAATCCCTTATCATGATACCTGGTTTCTGGAAAAAAGTGTTGTAGATGTGTTTTTCCGTCTCTTTTTTCGGTAGTCTTGCATTTATCCAAGGATCAAGAACTTCATTTATTGCCGCAGCAAACTCGCGACTTTTATACGACTTCATCACCAACTCGTGGAGCTTTGCCCGGGTATAACCAATGAACTGAGGATGCAAGGTGTGAAACATACTGGAAGTTTCCTTGTTACCACCAGAATTAGCAATACTATTCCATTTACCAGCAGTTAATTCAAAACTTTTAGTGGGCCAAGAAGTTTCAGCAGCTGATGTTACTGGAACCCAAACTTTATCCATTTTTCTGAAAACACTACTATATTCCTGAATTACACCTCGATCGACCAAGACTTGCAGCTCTAAAAACGATAAAGGTCCTCGTTCGTGCCCAGCACCATCAATGTAGTACCACTCACCTAAATTCAACTGTAGCTCATCTGCAGTACAAACATGATCCTTCGGGACACTGAAGGATTTGTTGCTCTTCCAAGAGCCAGGTGAGTCTTTCTCATGCATGCTTTTGGGCCGAGAAAGACCTTCAGATGATGGCCTCCTTGTTTCATTAGTCATTGAGTAATTTCTTGAAGACTTTGAAGAGTATTTATCCTTACCCCTTGCTTTCATCCGAGCATCAGAGGCAAACGAATCATGGTCCTTCACAACGCAAGCATTTATCCGCACCACAGGAAGCATCATTCCTCTGGTCCCCCTGGCAACACCAGGTTTATTCTGACCCAATCTGTTTGCACCACTATTATCATTCCCATCCTCGGGAGGGGTAAAGGCCCAGGGCGGAAGATCAAGCCTTCTGCTTTGGGAAGGAGCATACAACTCATCTTTCCTATGCCACCTAGGATCCCCAAAGCCAGACTTAGGCATCTGGCAAAGAGGATAGCCGTCATTTAGAACAAGTTTCTTTCTCAAAGTTCTGTCATGCGCAGTTTCATCAATCCTTTTCCAATCCCCACCTTTACATGGCCATTGACCAGAAAAACTTTCAACATCTTCATATGCACAAGCACTATCCTTCTCCAACGGTGACAGCACAGAAGGCCTCAACTCCAAATCCTCTCTCAAAGCAGACTCACAAATAGTTGCCATTTCACCAGATTGTTGATCGTTTTCACCCAAATCAACTTGATGCCAAGTGAACCCTGTGCATAGTACGTAGGGAAGTCAATCCATAGTTTATAATACCAGAAAGCTATACATGACTTATAACACTTGAAAGTATTCAGGAGTGACAACCACTATAATAGTTTCAGGCTGCAAAACCACGGAATTTCACTACCACGACATTTTGCACATATTAAAAAACCAAACCTAAAAGAACAAAATTTCCTCTTGCCAGGGGAAAAGACAAAAGAGCAACTTTAGGAAAAGATTAATTAAGTAAGAAAGAAAATGGCATAACGCATTAAATCTGTCAATTTCAACAAAACATTCATTCTTAAAGAGAAGAACAGTTGTGCATGGCTTATTTTGACTAGTCTCGGTTAAATAAAACAAAGAATCAGCACAGGAGCAAATAAAAGAAACCGCAACAAGTAACAGCACAAAATGTCCAGAAGAAAAATGCAGCAAAAAATTTTATGCTACCACAAAACTTAGGATAAACAAGCAAGAATTTGCCCCATACAAGAGGATCCCCTGGCAACTATTGATAGACAATGGCATCCCCATTGTTCAGAGGTCACACGAAAATAAAAGAAAAAAAAATAAATTTTAACAGAGGGTTATGTTACCTTCAATCTTTCTCCATCTCTCCCAATCATCATCCTCGGACATCATGTGAAGCACTTCTGAGAGGAAAATTTGAGGTCAGATATGCTCAAATACCAATCACACAGAAAAACAAGGAAAAACAATAAATAAATAAACAGCGGCAATATTAAAAGTTTAACGAAATAGCCAAGAAAAAGATTGCTGACCTCCAACTATCTCAACTTCTTTTCCAGGAACAACAGTAACACCATCTAAAACTGCATCAACTCTCTCATCAATGCGTAGATCTTCCGCATGCTCTGTTGCAGCTAAAAAGTCTTTCTGATGAGATGACAGATCAAATGGAAGTGGAATCCCCTGAGCAACCTGACAGCTAGAATCTACAACAAGATCATCATTATCCACCAGAAGGTTACCAGGAGCCTCTGGAGGGCTGACCAACTCTGCTGCAGCATCAGACACAACGGAAGTAAAATTAGGAGTCACCAGTGGTGAGACTGCCTTCTCAACAGTTACCCACCTGTCACTGTCAAGATGCTTGACCAAGTGGTCTGACACAAGAAAACCTTCTTCCATGAGTTTCTTCAGGTCGCATAACCTGGAAGGTCCCTGCTCCTCACCAAGGTAGTCAAGATAGACCCATTTCCCAGTGACAGTAACTCCAACCAGAGGGTCATGCGGAGGCGTGTTGCATATGTCCATGTCTTCTTCCATTGAGACATGCTCCTCAGCAGCTCCATTTTCTTGAATAACTTCATCAGCATTTACATCAGGAAGTTGGGCAGCAGGTTCTTCTTTGTTAATGTGTGGTAACCCATTTTTACTAATGATTCCAGCTTCAGAATCTTTCACTGAAGCTAGCAGCTCTCTACCATTTGGCTCCTTCAGATTGGGCCTCTCTTCTGCCGCTTCCTTCTGGTTTGATTTCTCCTCTGCCCCTCTACTTCCATTATTCTGTTTCTTCTGGCTTCCCCCGCTCTTTCGATCTGATTCACGATGCCGCCCATGATCAGGGGTACGCTCCAAGAAATTTGGGCTTCGACCTCGCTGATAGGAATACCTAGTTTGATCACGTGGGGACCACTCTGAATGAGTAGGACTGCGCTTTCGGTAATCAGAATGGCGGCTCCTATCAAAAGGGGATTTACTGCTGTCAACCGGATAACTTTTATCATACGGAGACTTACTCCTGTCATAATGACGATTCCGATCATATGGAGACCTGCTGTGATCATGGGGAGACCGATCAAGATGGCCAGGACTTCGTTCGCGATGATCATGGCGAGTTCGGTCACGTGGGGACCGCTCAGAACGGTAAGGACTGCTGTTGTACTTATCATAAGCCACTCTTGAAGATTCATAATGCCGAGAAGAATACCTGTCTCGAGATGAAGAGGATGCATTTCTATATCTCTCTGCAGACCGGAGTGAATGCTGTTCCAACGGGTACAGTGATCGAGTACCATTCTCAGAAAGCTTTCTGCTCTTACTGCTTGTAAAATCATCAGGCTCACCACGATAATGTTTCCGCTCACTGTGGTCTCCGTCAGCACCTTGTCGCTTAAATCTATTACCTGAAGAGTATTCTCTAGCATAGTTTTTGCCATTGCTGATATCATAACCATCTTCATCCACAATTTTTGAACTGATCTTCGGTGCCCTGCCAAGTATACCAGCTTCATGTCTGGGCGCCCTTTTCACAAGCTGATTCCCACTTCTACTGAGCTCCTTCTCACTGAAATACTTACCAGAAAAAGAAGGTGGTGGAGGTGTAGTCCAGTCGCGCTCACCTTTCCAGATCTTTTCCTTGGCGGAATCATATCTTCTTCCTCTCGAGTAGCTGAAATCATCCTTGGGCGCCAATTCACTCTTTCGCCACCTATCTGGCACAAATTCCCCTTTCTCCAATTCGTCCTTTGAGGACGGCCTCCATGATCCAGCAGTATTCTCTTCAGTTTTCTGCCATCTACCACTTGGAAGCTCCTTCTTTTCAACCTGGCCGCTTTTCTTCCACTTGTCCACTGCAGCCTCACCCTTCTCGGTTTCACTCTTTACCTCGTGATTCTCAGCAGGCTTCTCCAAGACAAACTCCCCATTTTCAATGGGCAAAGTGCCCAATTCCCCTTCCTCCACTTCATCCTTATTCGAGTCATTGACAGCATTGGTGTTGTTATTTATGTCACTATTACTAATATTGTTACTAGCTAAAACTACTTTCCCACTATTCACACTACTCTTTAATCTCAATTCCCCTTTTTTGACTTTAACCTTTTTGATCTTCTTCATGGTCTTCACTTTGGTAACTCTTTTGGTAGAAGAACTAAGCTTGTTGTTGCCTCCATTGTTGTTAGCGCTGTTGCCGTTACTACTACCTCCGCAAATTGAAAACCGCTCCACAATATGCTGCGAAGGCACGCATGCAACGCCACCATCGCCCATGGAATGCCAAAATCCAACCGCCCAACAACTCCGGGAATATCCCCTCGCGGGAAAAAAAAAAACAATCGGGAACCTATTTATCCTCTTCTCCGGGACTGTCTTTGCTCATGCTGCACGAATTCCTCCGTGATTCCAAAACCCTAGAAATTTCAAGACGGGAGACCAGAAGAATAAGAAAGGAATCATGAATACGAGGAATTAACACCGGAACAAATCAAATCATTAAAAAATCCGACGGGAATCGAAATTCAGAGCACAAGATGAAAAATGTAGGGATTTGGGGAAATGCAAAACCAAGTGACTGATTTAGCAAGTTTCCGTCTCCCGCCGGGAACAAAAATTAGAACGAATAACCTAGGGTTTTGAGAAATCAGGTGACTTACCAAGGAAACTCTGAGTTGGAGAAGGCTGAACCCTCGCCGGAAAGATCAACGGAAGCTGAGTTGAGTTGAGATACCGAGTCGAATTGAACAGAAATAAGAAGACGAAGAAGAAGAAGAAGAAGAAGAGAGACAGAAAGGCTTTTGACGAGGGAGGAGAGAGCGATTTGTGTATCTGTTTTTTATTTATTTTTTCTTTTCTTCCGATGAGGAGAAAAAATAAAAGAAAGAATTGCTGAAGACGAATCTCTCTCTCTCTCTCTCTGTGTTTTCTCTCTGTAGAAAGATTAAAAATCCTGTTTATTTTTTTCACCCTTTTTATAATTTCCCAATCCCAGTTTCCAGGGGATGGTTTTATTTTTTGGTTTTTTTTTTCAACGTTTAAGTGTAAATTTACTAGTCGGCGGAGTCGCCATTTACTTTTTACTTTCTTTTATTTTCCTTAGGGACGAACTTCGTGCATTAAAACTATTTAATACAAACTTTTTTCATTTTTTTCACAAGGCTTATGAAACTCTAATCCAATAACCAAACTAACATGAATATCCAGTGCTTTGCAATTCAATGATTTTGAGGCTTCTAATTTTGAAATTTTTTTTTGTTTTTGTTTCTACACATTTGTGTTGATATATCTGTATTAATGTCGTGCATCTGTATTTACTTAATACAAAAATAGCATTCGTTTAATTCTTAGATACGAACAATGAATTGTCCAGTAAGACTATTTTTCATTTCTATGTATGTACTCCGCGAATTATTTCATATATTGATTTTAGATATATGATGATTTAATTAGTACTTAATTTATTTTCTTTTTTTTTATTCTTAAAAAAAAACTCTATTTTTCGGCTAGTTAAGATTTATTTTTGTGCTATGGTATTTGTTTGTAGATATAATGAAAATGTAATTTTTTTTTCTATCTTGAGAACCAAATAAAGTGATAAAATAATGGTACTAAAGTAACGTCTAACATAAATAAAATCAATATTATTTAATAAAAAATAGCTGTAGAACGCTCGACTTAGACAATTTTACAGCTTTACATAGAGATGTTCAATCGTGCAGTTGACGGGTTTTTCAGTTAATCAATTCAGTCAATATCAATTTTTATTTTATTCTTTTAAGCATACCGGTTAACAAACTAACTAAAAAAACTAATTATACCGGTTTCAGTTTCTTACTAGTTGTATGCTCGGTTGAGCCATTAAAATATTATTATTATTTCACAGAGATGAACACTCAAATTACGAATTCAAGTCTCAAACTCAATAACTTTATACTTTGTCTTCTAGCTCTTTTTTTTTTTTTTTTTGACACTCTAATTTGGTTTGACTATTGATTCATATTATTAGATTGTTGAGTTGTAAATGGTTAGAAGTAGGCTTATTAAATGAATATTAATCTTGTTCACAGTTTCGGTTAATCGGTTGGATGCATATATCAAATTGATAACCAAATCACTTGGCCAATGAAATTCGACTAACCAAAAGCAATTAACCTATATAACGAATGGTACGATTAGTTGGCTTGGTTTGTATCGATTAGCGATTTAGTTAATCTGTAATGATCTTTATACCATCTCTAATTTTACATCGAGCAAGTTTCCGTTAAGGTGCAATAATTGAAAATCTGCTTAGTGTGTGTTTTGTTGCCTCTACTTTAGTAATGTTATAGTTTTTCTAATTTTGAAGGTCAACAAATTTCACATAATACATGAAGCGTCGAATTACGACAGTACAACACGTGACACGCGTCAAATAGATATTCGGTTTGACTCCACATATAAGTCTACTCTACTTGCCACGTTACAGGCTTTAACACGCAGTAATCAAGATGCTTTACTGCATATGATTCTTATCATCATTGCTCCTATCAGTTACATTGAGATATCACGATTAATGAGGCAAATTATGCGACATGACAAGTAGACTTATAGGGAATATTCCAAACGGATGTTATTTGATTCTCGTTATATATTTTACCGATATAAGCCAATGTATTATGGATTTCTGAAATTTGTTAGCGTTGAAAGTTCTAATAATTACAAGATTATGAAACTAAAAGTGACAAAACACATGCTCGATATATGTTTTATCGGTGTGAATCAATGTGTTATTTATCGTGTGAATTTTTTTTTTACCTTGAAAATTGTAAAAACGATAAAGTTACTAAACTAGAAGTGTCAAAATATGCGTTAAAGTTATACACCAAGTTTTATGTAAAAGTACAAAAGTACCTTAAACGAGTATTTTACAATTTGTGCGCAAATCGTGCGGAAATCGTGCGGAAATTTGATTTAGTACAATTATTTATTCTTATAGTTTAGATTAATACGTTTATAACTTTTTTTACCATATATATTGGTGATTTATTAATATACATCAAAATAAAATAATTTTGTTAGCCATCATAATTTACGTTCAAATTAAGAACAAAGTAACTATTATTATGATTTATAAAATATTTTATTAGAATTTCTTAAAAATATACTATTACATAATATTCGTAAGTTATATATCAACTTTGACTTAATTTTTAAAAGTACATTCATATGTAACATGATAATGTAAAATACAGTATTAGTTTTCTTATAATATACGTTCGTTCACATGTATAATGAATTTCAGACTATTACTCCCCCGGTCCTATTATAAATTATGTTGGTTTCTCCTAAATTTAATTTCTCGTTTTTTTTTTCAATTGGAAATGAAACCTTAAAAATTCTCTATAATAATTGAGAGTACATATATTAAAATTACATTTTAAGATTTTTTGTTTAATTGAAAGAACACAATAAATGAAACTTATGAGAGATTAAAATGTATTATAATAAGGACACGAGGGATTGTCGTTTTCTATATAAGTTTTCCATGAAAATTTGATTATTTCATAGATGTGATGAATAACTTTAGTGCTCAATTTATTTTTATTTTTATTTTTTTTAATTTTTGAGTAAATTCATTTTTTCCATGCTGGTTCTCTAAGATTTAATTTTTTTTTTGTAGCATGACTTTTGTAAAAAATAACCAAATTGATTTTTTATATTTTTGGTAGGGATAGTTTGTTAATATGTGCAATATCTAAAATTCTTTTTACATATTCATTATCCACAATTAAGGAGAGACATTACGGGAAGACATCAAAATTCACAGCCTCTGTTTACGTGACTACGTCAAGGGCCTTCTTTGCTAAACGATCAATCCAACCATTCTTATCTCTAGAAGTACACAACCTTCAAACAGAAGTTGATATTCAGCAGAGGTCCATATTAAGCAGAGGGCTCCATTGTATTTTAAAGATCAAATGGGCTTCAATTAGGCAATCAAATTGGACAAGGACATTTTGGTTTTCTAAGGCCCATTATGAAAGCTGACAGTTTTGCTATTTTTAGTAGAGAACTAGCCCAAGTTTGAAGTAAAACCATGACACAAACTGACCGCACCGCATAAGAGTCCACCTAATGTTTGTCGTTCCTGTTTTCAACCTTACCATCCAATTAATTGTTCGATTCTACGGAGTGTATTTTAATGTCAATTTTTTAAAAGATGATAGATATTGATTTTTATGCACGATGATAAATCATGAGCTAGAATGTCGATTTACTGTAAACTAGCCTATAACCTGTTATCATTGTTATTGTCATGTCACCATAATTTTAGTAAATCATATGATGCCCCGAGCCTAAAGCGAACATTCACTATTAATAATTTAATAGAGTCTTACTCTCTTTGGTCTGTTGTGGGGAAAATAAAAATCGCAAGACAATCCCACCACACCAATATACTTTTTTTTTTCCTATTCCCTTCCACACAGTTCCCGCTATGAGAACTGTGGAAGAAGAAGTTTTGAAGGAGGGGACTTGGATGAGGAGGAGGAAATGGACAAGGTTTTTTCACGAGAAACGCTGGAGTGTGCGTGCATCTCACGTTTCAATCATTGAGGTCATTGATCGGCCAATGATGATTTAGGTCATTGATCGACCAATGATGATTTTTTCCAAATTATAATCTCTGATATGTTAGAGTTGTATATGTAATATCTTAGTTACGGTATATAATTATCTCTTTTATGGTTGTTTGTAGTATATATATGTTGTATATGGTTGTTTGTAGTATATATATGTTTGTATAAACCCTAAAGCTAAACACGGTTTTCTCGACTAAAGATTTATGCCGACCGTCTCTTACTTCTCTCTTTACATGGTACAATCATATATTCATATCTGGACATTGCGAGGAATGCAGTGAAAAAAGGCTAGAGAATGCTGTGCAATGTAATATTAATATTAATCCGGGTCGTGTATATTTTAGCTTCTAAGAGGTTTTCTCCTGCACAGAAACTTTCAAAATCAGGCCTTTCAAGGAAATCCTATACATCGGTGTCCTGTTGATAACAATCGAAGAATCTGCTTGCAAAATTTGGAAAACTTTGTTGAACAGGTAAATTTAAAAAGAAAAAAAATTGATGAATAAGGTAGACATCGATCACAATTCAAAAACACAAGTAATTATGGAAGATAACGAATCAAAAAAGAAAAAACCAAAAGAATGAAAACCAAAAGAAAAATAAAAAAAAATTGGAATAATGTTTCAATTCTAATCTCTAAAATCCACCCAATTTCCACTTTGCCATGAGATCCAAATCTTTGAAGCTACAGCCTACAAAAGCAAAGAAAGCAAAGACTATATAAATGGTGAGTGCGCCCGGAGAACTCCCCGCAAGTTCGAATCGTTTCCTGCAATCACAATCACAAAAGAGGAAAAAAAAAATTTTAAAAAAAAATCCAATAAATCTATTGTCCCTTCCCAAATTGTAAGAAATTACGAAAAGCAAAAATGTGTGAAGAAAGATGCGTACCAAACTCGGCCTTATGTTTGGGAAGAGAAGATTCATTGATTATCATCATATCATTATCCTCTGGAATCCCCTGTATTGATGGTTTCCAATCTTTCGATTTCGTCGGCTTCAATCTTCTTAATCCGTCGCCTGAAGGAATTGTAGCCTTCTTTTCCACCTGAAATCGACGACCCACGTCGTCTTTTGTCTGGGGAGTCGCAACGGGTAAGGGTTTGGGAGCACTGGCGGTGGCGGTAGTGGTGGCAGCGGTGGCGGTAGGTCCAGGGGTTCTGCCGCCGCCGCCGCCGCAACATGACCCGAATTGAGAGAAAAATTTCATGACTGAACTGAACGAATACCCGGAAAAAAAAAAGAACTTTTAAGACGTTTATGGTAACCAGAAACGTCAATGTGGTTAGGAATTCCGATGGGGTTTTTGATGTATGGAGTTGGGAAAGAGGGAAAATAAGGAAGCTTAAAAAGGATAATGATAAAAGTTGGAGGATATGATCGATCTATGTTTATATGTAGTTCTCGCTTTTGCAGCAATAAAATAGTAGAATACTACGTGGAAAAGAAATTCGATTAAGTTAAGGAAAAGAAGAAAATGTCGCCGAGTTTTCCAAATCAAATAGTATAATTTTGGATAAATGCTGAAGACGAGGGTTTTATACGGAAACTTTAGATTTTTGTGTTTTACCATTAATAACATCGGTATTATAATGTTGTTATAATATGAAAATGGATAGGCTTTAATGACGACTGTTTTAGATTTGGAAGAGACCAAATTCATTCGCAAAAAAATAAGCAGTGGGGGAATTCTTGTCATTATCACTGGAATTCCGGCCAAGTGAAGAAAGGTTTCCAACTGGTAAAATCGTCTTCCTCAATCAAGCAATCAGTGTCTCTATGAGATCGGAGTATATGTAGTTCTGTGAAATTGACAGGGTGTAAAGGGTGATAGACTCCTCTGTAAATTTCGCACCATATGCTGAAATGAAATAGCTCAAGTCTATCAAAAAAATTGCTTTCAATATGTGGACTACTGGAATTATTATCTTCAGCCTATGTTTACGGCCAAATGAATTACTCCATTCATTGTGTCTCAAACTCTCAGAGGATAATGAGCTTACATTGGATGAGGATAATGAGTTAGGCAGCGAATCCGAACAGGTTGAAAAATGGAAACAGTGCACTTTTAACCTCAAGGCAATACAAAGGTTTGGTGACATTATACAAGGTTGAGAAATTTGAAACAGAAACGCAATTGTTTGGGTTACAGAGCGCAATGGGATGCAGTTTGCGAGTGAGTTAGACAACTGCAGAGAATGCAGTTGTGTACGTATCCATCAGATCAGATGATGCAACAATCTAAATTCTTATTAAGTTAGCTCATTCATTTGTCGATTTTTATGCCACTCTTCCAGCGATAATATTCGTTCCAAATGGACTATGCATAAATTGTGTATCATTTTGCCTTGAGCTTAAAACATTTTGTATATTTTCTCCGGCTCCCTGATGCAGATATTGAGCAATTCAAGTGCTAAACATCATATGGAGAATATCGGACTAGCAACCCATACCGGGGAAAAATTGGCTAATCTACTCCAAGTTTTACATGCGCTGTCAATTTTACCGTATTCCTTTTTTATTAGTCAATATTACCCTAAGCTATTCAACTTTTAGCCGATTTTATCCAATTTGCTCTTTTCCGTTTAAATTAACGGAATTCTATTTGTTTTAATTACAAAAATACCTTAATAATTTTAAAAATTATAAAAATTACTCCAAAACTTTACAAAAATAACAAAACAGTCTCTTTTCAGTTTTTGTCTTTTTTTTTTGTTTTTTATTTCTTTTTAATATTTTCATAACTATAAAAATATACTATATGATCTTTTTAAAAAAACTATTTATTTTAAAACTCTAATGTACAAATTTATAATTTGATATTTGTATGTCATGTTTAATTTACATAAACATGTTATTTTTTTAATAATATGGTTTAACGGTAATAATATTATTTTTTTAATCTATTTTTTTCAATCTAAAGAATAAGATTATTTAACTAAAACTAATTTTGCACAAAAAAATAACACATTTAGCATAGATTAAAAAAGAAGTTACTGGTATACTTTAATGTATTACAATTTAATTTAACAGACTTTAGATTTTATTATAAAATTTAAAAAATAATTAAAACTAAAATATAAATTTTTCTGTAAAAGGCCAAGTACGAAAAGAAAGTAAAAAAAAAACACCTATTTCATATCTACATTGGCCCAACACAAGAATATAGTGTCATGGCATTTACAAAAATGGTAAAAAATATTTTATAAAAAAAATTTATATTTATCATTGCGAGGGTTTAACATTTTGCGATAATTTGTTGAGATATTAATATATCTAACTTTAGCAGGAAGTCTTTTTTTTTTAAAAGAAAAAATAATATAAAGAAAATCTATTCCAATACTGGACTCCACCTTTTTTTTTTTTTAAAAAAAAACAAATTAGATTGCCCCAGTGAGAATCGAGACATCGAACACAGTAATTTTATCTCACATCCTAAATCACCTGACCATCTCACCCTCTCGCCTTTAGTGGATCCCGCTTAAATATGGATAAAATCACTCTCCCAGTTAGAAATCCTTTGGTGAGACTTAATCTTATATCTACTCTAATGAAACAGAAAATTTGACCGATTATTTTTTAATCTATGCTAAATTTTTTAATTTTTTGTAAAAAAATTAGTTTTAGTAAAAAAAAATCTTATTCTTTAAATTGAAAAAAATTGATTAGAAAACTAATATCATTATTTTCTAGCCACAGTATTAAAAAAATTAATATGTTTATGTAAATCAACCATGAATTACAAATATGTATATCTATAAATTTGTGTAGTATTGTTTAAAAATAAATATTTATTCTAAAAGATCATATAGTATATTTTTATAATTATGAAAATAGTAAAAAGAAATAGAAAACAGAAAAAAATTAAATAAAAAGTGAAAAGAAACTATTTTGTTATTTTTACCAATTTTTAGGGCTATTTTTATAATTTTTAAAACTATTAGGATATTTTTGTAATTAAAACTAACAAAAAATCCGTTAATTTAAACGGAAATTGGCAAATTGGACAAAATCGGCTAACGGTTGAATAGCTAAGGGTAATATTGGCTAATCGAAAAAGAATAGGGTAGAATTGACAACGCATGTAAAGGTTAGGGTAGATCGGCCAATTTTTCCCCCATACGGGTTTCCAATTATATCAACAGATCCATAATGTATCTTTTTGAAACTTGAGTTGTAAGCAACGATATGTTATTCCAATAAAAATAAGACCCCATCCGACAAAACATCAAGATGTTGTGATTGTAAGTAGTCAAGATGAGTTTGATTCCGAAGAGGAATTGATGGTTGATGCTAATCAAACTAGTCGGCGCTCGAATCTTTTTTCTGAAGATCCATTAGCTAAATGGTGAAATGACGGTGGTCCAATTAATGATAATGCAACAATGGATGATGAAGTGACTTTGGGATCTACAGCCTCGAGGGATCTTTGAAGATTGTTTAGATGTCGTGGCATTATTTGAACTATAGATGTCACAAGGTCGAAAAGATGTTATTGGGCATTTATAGAGAGAAGACCATAAGAGCTATCAACAAACTACTAAGTAAAGATTAGTTTGTGAAATTTCAGTATCATCTCTTATATTGTACTTAAAAGAGAAAGGTTGAATTTTTTCTATGCTTGATCTTAATTATGTGATTAGAGCACGACTTGTCTAGGGGTTTTGATTCACAAAGTGTAATAATTTAGTTTTTCAAACTATGGCCTCCTTCATTGTTAAAAAAAAAAATACAATAAAAAATGACAAGGTTGGGAACAAATAGAATTAATTTATTTGACTTAGAAAAGAAGCCAATAACGAGGAACAATCCAAATAGACGAAACTGTCATGCTCCTGAAGTTATTTGTAAGGATTAGAAATTATAGGGGTTAGAGTGTCATTTTTAGAAATATGTGGACTATACAGTCCCTGGGTCAGTAAAATTAATCATCAAAATTATTATGTCAGATTGGATTTTTCCAATATCTCCCTTCATCGTTCTCCTCCCAAACTAGAACCCTAATTCCTCCGGTCACCTCCTAATTCTCCTTTTCTGTAATTCCGGCCACCCAAGCCCCCTGTAGCGCGACAGAAACTTGAAGCCCAAATACAATATTGGATGATACGTAAAGGCCTTGAAGCCCACTTTAAAAGTATCGAAGGATAATACTCTTTCTATATTGATAAGGGCTAAGGAGCAATAACCAAATTTGCGCGGATGTGATTCTGTGACATTATGTGTCCATTTACATGAATTAGGAAAAAATTGGCTAATCTACTCTAAACTTTACATGCGTTGTCAATTCTACTCTATTCCTTTTCGATTAATCAATATTACTCTAAGCTATCTAACCGTTAGCCGATTTTGTCCAATTTGCTCTTTTCCGTTTAAATTAACGGAATTCTATTTATTTTAATTACAAAAATACCTTAATAATTTTAAAAATTATAAAAATGACCCCAAAAATTTATAAAAATAACAAAACAGTTTCTTTTCAGTTTTTGTTTTTTTTTTTGTTTTTTATTTCTTTTTAATATTTTCATAACTATAAAAATATACTATATGACCTTTTAAAAAAAACTATTTATTTTTAAACTCTAATGTACAAATTTATAATTTGATATTTGTAAGTCATGTTTATTTACATAAACATATTATTTTTTTTAATAATATAGTTTAACGGTAATGATATTTTTTTTAATCCATTTTTTTAAATCTGAAGAATAAGATTATTTAACTAAAACTAATTTTGCACAAAAAAAAACACATTTAGCATAGATTAAAAAAGAAGTTATTGGTATACTTTAATGTATTATAATTTAATTAAACAGACTTTAGATTGTATCATAAAATTTAAAATATAATTAAAACTAAAATATAAATTTTTCTGTAAAATGCCAAGTACGAAAAGAAAGTAAAAAAAAAAACACCTATTTCATTTCTACATTGACCCAACACAAGAATATAGTGTCATGGCATTTACAAAAATGGTACAAAATATTTTATAAAAAAAAATTTATGTTTATCATTGCGAGGGTTTAACATTTTGGGATAATTTTTTGAGATATTAATATATCTAACTTTAGCAGAAAGTCTTTTTTTTGAAAGAAAAAATAATATAAAGAAAATATATTCCAGTACTGGACTTCACCTTTTTTTTTAAAAAAAAAAATTAGATTGCCCCAGTGAGAATCGAGACATCGAACACAATAATTTTATCTCACATCCTAAATCACCTGACCATCTAACCCTCTCGCCTTTAGTGGACCCCGCTTAAATGTGGATAAAATTACTCTCCCGGTTAGAAATCCTTTGGTGAGACTTAATCTTATATCTACTCTCATGAAATAGAAAATTTGGCCGATTATTTTTTAATCTATGCTAAATTTTTTAATTTTTTGTAAAAAAATTAGTTTTAGTAAAAACAAATCTTATTCTTTAAATTGAAAAAAATGGATTAGAAAACTAATATCATTATTGTCTAGCCATAGTTTTAAAAAAATTAATATGTTTTTGTAAATCAACCATGAATTACAAATATGTATATCTATTAATTTGTGCAGTATTTTTTAAAAATAAATTTTTATTCTAAAAGATCATATAGTATATTTTTATAGTTATGAAAAATTGTAAAAAGAAATGAAAAATAGAAAAAAAATTAAATAAAAAGTCAGAAGAGACTATTTTATTATATTTAACAATTTTTAGGATCATTTTTATAATTTTTAAAACTATTAAGATATTTTTATAATTAAAACTAACAGAAAATCCGTTAATTTAAACGAAAATTGGCAAATTGGGCTAACGGTTGAATAACATAGGGTAATATTGGCTAATCGAAAAAAAATAAGGTAGAATTGATAACGCATGTAAAGATTAAGGTAAATCAGCCAATTTTTCGACATGAATTAGGTTCGAGATCTTTTGTCACAGTAACGTATTAGATCATCATACAAGTACTCTGTAACATTGTACGTAGTTTAGTCATAGTTACCCGTAAGGATTCATCAATAGTAAAATTCCTTTATAGTATCATCTTCATCTTGCAGAGTGTTTTGACCGAATTATTATTATTCAACTTATACAAGCTTTTATGAAGACCATCAAAACCATGTTCGTATCAGTTCGTGTGTTGTGAAAGATTTTGTGTTAGGTGTAACCAAAAAAAAATAAAAAATTTTGTGCTACGTATAGCTAGTAATTTAAGACCTAAATTTTGCAAGGTTTTATCACTATCCCGCACTAGTTGACTTGACATAGATACAGTAATACACGTATGAACTTGTAAAAATGCCCATGCCAGTCCAACGAGTTATATGTATATACACACTAGGATGTCTGGTCGCGCATTGCCCAATATATCTTTAGATTTTATAAATATTTATATCTGAAAAAAAATATTTTGTATTTAGCCCAATATATTAGAAATGTTTGAAAAATTTAGAAATATTTTATAAGTGTGATCACAGAAATGTTCGTATTTGGCATAAAAAGAAATTATATTTGGTCCGGTACGTTTTAGAAATGTTTGAAGATTTTAGAAATATTTTATAAGTGTTACTTCTTAAATAGAAATAAACTTGATCAAATATATGACTTGAAGTAGATGCTAGACAAAATATAAAAGCATCCTAATAAGGTTAAATATTAGTAAGATGATTTATTGATGTTCTTCATTAATTGTGCCAAATCAATACTTAGTTTTGGAGATTTATAATAGCTTTGTAGTAAGATTCCTCCAAAGGGTATACACTTAATTGTTGGAATTATTTCTTCCAAAATTTTAAAGGTAGTAAAATATCAAAAATATGATTTTGAAATTGGTTAATTATTGAAACTGGTTGATCACAAATATGAGAATGAAAATAATATAAATTTGCATAGGTTTCAAGTTATAGTAAAAAAGAACTCACATCATCATGGCAAATAAAAAAAAAGAAAGTAAAAGATAACCCATTAAAAATTGAGAAATTTTTTTTTTTTTTACGTAAAAATGATGTATAAAAATACAAATAAATGTAGAAACATCATTCCTTCCCTCTCTACCTCAAATTCATAAAAGGCTTCTCCATAAATTAGTCAGAAGAAGTGACCTGAACTATTTATATGATGAGGAACTAAAAAAAGTCCAAAAACCAAATCCAAACAAGTATATTATTGAAAGTCCGAACACAGAAAAAAAAACGCGCTTCATTTGCAAATAAAATATAATAATAATAATAATAATTAGTCAACTGGGAGTATGAAACAAAATCAAAAGCAATTAGACAAAGAAAAAACACACTTCATAAATGACCATATAAGAAAATATATAGAGACTCCATAATTAAAAAAAGAAAACCACTCTAATTGAATGAAATATAAAAAAGAAATTTAAAAAACAACACTTTGTAACAAAAACCCAATTAATCAATTCAATCCAGACATAACTAAATTCGTATAAAAATTCTAGGCTAACTAACCATATAAGAAATCACATCATATTACCTGACAACGGCTACGGTAGCTGTAACGGATGGACGCATAAAAATAATAGTAATAACATTATTCTTGAACGGGAAAAACATAAAATAATAAAAACGAAACAAATGATCTGTGAAAATTAAATCATTTAAACTTCAATACCTGTAATGGCACCACCACAACGGCTGAAGCAAGATCAATGAGAATTTTTTTTCCTTTGTGTTTATATAGAGAGGAAAAGAGAATATTTTTTGAAGTCAAAATTTTATCCGATTAGGATGTAGTTGATCATTACTAATGAAAAGATTAAACATGCTAATTGAAAAGGAGTATATTTCACCACATATTCTGAATTGATGATTGATGAGGAAATTTTTTATTGAGGAGAAGGGATTGATTAGAGAGTTGATTGTCATGGGGATGGGGATGAGGATTTGGGTTTTTTATGAACCCATAGTTTTTTTTTTTTTTTTGTTTTGGCGAAAATAGGAGGTGGAGGTGGATTTGGACTGCATTTGCCTTTTAAGTCTAGGAGATGTGTAAATAAAAATTTATTTTAAAAATATGATGTGGAAATACCATATGGCAAATAGTGGTGTTTTCTCTTAAGTGTGATTTTTGTTTCTAATATAGTAAGATATATATATATATATATATATATATATATATATGTGGGGGAGCATCTAGAGTCGCGTAACGGGATGGTTCCGTTTAAGGGTAATAACCGTAGGATTAATTAGATTAATTACCAACCATTGGATTAAAATAAAGGTGTATTATAAAGGCATACGCCTAAATGCACTTGATTAAAAAAATAAACCTGGTACTGGTTTGACCGGTTTATTACTGCTTAATTAAATTACTACACAACCGATTAAAAGGGGGGAAAATAAAAATTTCACGAACTGTGAACTGAAACACTCTCTCATAGGCAACACTTCGGAGCACGATCTCACGTTCTCCTACTCCGGTTGTGATGGCAACAATGAAATTCCATCTCTTCTCTATATATAATTCCTTAATATGCAGCCGAATCTAATCAATTCAAGGCTGGCAAGGAGAAATCTTTACTTAAATTTGAGACGCTATTTGAGGCGGGCAAGCAATTTTAGAGGAGTTGGTTACCGATTCTTCTGAATCCTGGTTTGCGGATCCTACAAAACAAGGTAACAATTGATTTCCCAGTTTTGATGAAGATTCTGATGATGATTCTGCTATATTAGATGGTGATTTTGAAGAATACGATGATGATATATCTTTTCTTGATACTTTTACTGTTGAAGAGAGTTATAATAGTGAATGTGAATAAGATTATGCCTGTGAGAAATTGAATGATAGTGAAAGTGAAGGTGAAATTGATGTTGGGTTCAGTTGTTATTGATAAGTGTGGAACGGTTTTCGAAGTTGATATCAATGTTGTTGATATTGTTGTGGCATCTCTTGATAAACAAGGAGCCTGTTAGAAGATCCTCCATATGGTTTTGATTATTTGATTGAGAAGGAAGGCAGTGTTAATAGCATGTATAGTGTTGAACTGAGAAATCTGATTAGGTCATGGGATAAACTGGCAACCTGTTTTAGTGGAGGAACCGTCTCTTCTACTAAAAGAAGACTTCAATGTTGGCCTAAGCTGGTTTTTGGTTTTAAAGGTGGCACCACAAAAAATGAAAGTAGTGCTAGAGTTAAGCTGTTAGTTGATGAATGGAGTTCGACTCTAGTTGATGACCTTCGTGAAGTTGAATTTGGTGCCCTGTTGGATAAAGGAAGCTTGGTAACTGTGTTGAAGGGAACTGGAATGTTGCAAGAGAATACAAATAGGGCATATGTTTCCTGGCCATTGGTTGCCACTGTTTTTAGAGGTGGAACGATGCTTTTGAGACTGAGGGTTTGGGTTCAGTTGGCTACGTGTTTCAGAGGGGGTACCCTAGTTTTCGAAGGCTACAGGACACACTTAATATCGCTTGATCAGTCATCTTTTGTTTGGATGATTGCTTGGCGAAGTATATCAACGGGAAGTACTCTGACTAAATGTCTATTCAGATGCGGTGATCAAGCTTTGGTGGCTGTTTCAGTTTCCAGGAAGATTAACTTGCAGTTGCTGTTATCAGATTGGATTGATGCTAAACAGTGAAGACTTTCTTTCAAGTTCATTCAATTTTGATGTAGTTGTCCCTGTTATCATTTCTACTGTTTACTGTTGCATTCTGTGATAGTCTCTGATTTAGCTGTTGCTAGGAATAAGGCATTAGGCTACTGTTATCAATTGTTCCAGTATCATTTTGATTTACATCTTTATAATATCCCATGGCCATAAATTATGATGCTTATACAATGTTAAATTTGTACTCACTCCGTCCCAAAATAATTACTGCTTTATACGACATCTCTATAGTAATATTTCTTTATTTGATTTCCCTAAAAGATGCTATCTCCGTCCCAAAAAAGTAGTCCACATTGAGTTTGCAAATTTGTAGTAAAAACAATACAAAACCCAAAACTCAATGTGGACTATGTTTTTGGGACGGAGGGGGTACTACATTTTATACATAAATACTTCTTAGTTATACTACAAAAATAAAACCCAAATACATAAATACTTCTTAGTTATACTACAAAAATGAAACCCAAAAAATGTGGCCCAAGTAGTTTCGAACCTAGCACTTTGAGAGTAAACATAAGGAATAACTAACCATTTAAGCCAAAATGGCACATTTGTTAAGTTAAGGCAATATTTAGTACTTCTTAGTTATATTAAAAAAATGAAACCCAAAAAATGTGGCCAAGGAGTTTCGAAACTAGTACTTCGTAGATATACTACAAAAATAAAACCCAAGAAATGTGGCCAAGTAATTTCGAACCTAGCACCTTTGAGTAAACATAAGGAGTAACTAACCATTTAAACCAGAATGACACATCTATTAAGATAAGGCAATAAATGTTTAATATATAAATACTTCTTAGTTATATTACAAAAATGAAACCCAAAAAATGTTACCAGGGAGTTTCGAACCTGGCACATTTACACCCATTAAAAAAATTAAATTTTAACCCAAAAAGGGTGATGTTTATACAATATTAAATTTGTACTCACTTCGGCCCAAGATAATTAGTGCTTTATACTACATCTCTATAGTAATATTTCTTTATTTGATTTCCCTAAAAGATACTATCTCTATCCAAAAAAAATAGTCCACATTAAGTTTAATAATTTATAGTAAAAACAGTACAAAACCCAAAACTCAATGTAGACAATGTTTTTGGGACGGAGGAAGTAGTATACTACATTTTATACATAATGACGGAGTGATAAATAAAACAAAATATAACTAATATAAATTGAAATTGTGCAATGTTTAATGTCAATGTGTATTGTTATTTTAAGTACCTTTAGAATGATTTTCGATTTTCAGTCCATATTTTACGTTTCATCATAATTTATTAGAGATTGTCAATTTCATATTAATGTATTATACTTCGGCAATTAATACTTCCGTTATATATTTAGCAAATTCCGACCATTCACTTGGTCAAACTAGCACCACACTTAATTAATTTAATTTTCTACTAATTTAATTAATAAGCCTAATTTATTAATTAAAATAAAGCATACATTTAATTTTTTAAGATATTAAATAACAAACATAATAAATTTAATTTTGTATTTGGTTATTCTACATAAATTAACAAAAATAAGTGTAACGAACAAAAAGACATAAATATCCAGTCCAATCTCCTTCACTAAAGGTAATACTACTGGAGTCCAAGTCCTGGACTCCTGCCTATTCGGGGTAATTTGGTCATTTTGGCAATGGGAACGGATTTGTAACTTGATTTTTTTTTTTTTGTGAAGAGGGGGATCGGATTTGTTGATAATTTGATTTACATCTTTATAATATCCCATGGCCATAAATTATGATGCTTAGACAATGTTAAATTTGTACTCACTCCGTCCCAAGATAATTAGTGCTTTATACGACATCTCTATAGTAATATTTCTTTATTTGATTTCCCTAAAAGATGCTATATCCGTCCCAAAAAAATAGTCCACATTCAGTTTGCAAATTTGTAGTAAAAACAGTACAAAACCCAAAACTCAATGTGGACTATGTTTTTGGGACGGAGGGAGTACTACATTTTATACATAATAACGGAGTGACATATATGAAACAAAAATATTACTAATATAAATTAAAATTGAGCAATGTTTAATGTCAATGTGTATTGTTATTTTAAGTACCTTTAGAATGATTTCGAATTTTCAATCCACATTTCACATTTCATCATAAATTTATTAGAGATTTTCAATTTCATATTAATGTATTAGACTTCGGCAATTTAATACTTCCGTTATATATTTAGCAAATTCCGGCCATTCACTTGGTCAAACTAGTACCACACTTAATTAATTTAATTTTTTGGTAATTTAATTAATATCTGCTAAATTAATTAATAAGCCTAATTTATTAATTAAAATTAAGCATACATTTAATTTTTTAATATATTAAATAAAAACATAATTAATTTAATTTTGTATTTGGTTATTCTACATAACTTAACAAAAATTACTCGAACTAACAAAAAGACATAAATATCCAGTCCGATCTCCTTTACTAAAGGTAATAATACTGAAGTCAAGTCCTGGACTCCTTCCTTATTACAAAAATGATGAGGTCCAAGTGGAGGTTTTCTCATCATTCTACTGAAGGAGTTCCGATTTGTTATTAACCGGTTTGCGTCTTTATAATCATTTGAAAAGACATGAATATCCTGCTTGGCCTCCTTCCTTTAAATTAATACTACTGGAGTCCAGGACTCCTGCCTATTCGGGGTTATTTGGTCATTTTGGCAATGGGATTGTATTTGTTTTTTTTTTTTTTTGAAGAGGGGGACCAGATTTGGTCATTTTGATCGGGTTGTTTTTTCAGTCGGGTTATTTATTTCCCCCTTCCCCCAAATCCAATGCTACCGCGACAAATTTTCTCATCGCTTTTAATTTTCCAGCCCTTCCCCCCTTCCAATTATCTTCCTATTTCTGAAGTGATTTGGTTAGTTGGATGTCAAGGTGGTCGTGGATGCCGGGAAGTTGCAGTTTGATGATGGAGTCGATTTGTATTGTAATTAGGATTCCCAATTTGTATCAGCTTAGGAAAAATATAGCTTCTGCTTCTTTCATCGCATGAGAAGCAAATCAAATCAATCAAAGCAGAGTAGCCTCTTTCCCGGATTCGGCAGTTGGGTCGGCCCTTTTCAGAAACGTCAGTTAAATCCTCATGCTTCGGCCCTATTAGATCTTTTTCCTCCTACAAGATTGAAAGCTCTAAAGCTCCAACATTGTGATTTGTCAAATTCTGCAGCATGAGGAATATATCTTCTTACTTCTGGTTTGAGCAATTACGATCGGAGCGACATCCGGAGATGGTAATTGACTTTTTTTCCCTCATTTTTTTTTTACTTCTTCACTCCCGAATTAATGTTATGCACTTCTACCAATGATTAATACTGAGTAGTTTCATATTCTGGTTTAATAGAATTGAAACATTTAAGTGACTAATCTCTCTTCTGAGGGGAGGGGGGGAGGGGGTGGTTTAGTGCTACAACATTTGTGCTTTTGAAATGAGTAATTACTCTGGATTTCTAGAATATGTGTATGATGGACTAAGATCTGAACTTGCATAATCTTGTGTGGAAAAGGAAAAAGGGAGGGGAATTTATTCACATTTCATAATTGAGCGTCTGTTTTGCGAGGAAATTTCTAGCTGTTTGAACTATTGGATATTGATTTTTCACTTTGTTGCTTTCAGTTTGATGTTAAATCTTTTCCTTCAATGTGTAGTACATAGCAAGTCTAACACAAACATTGGCATACTGCCATAAGAAGCATTGGCTCCATTGTTGGTCCTTTGATCAATGTAGGAGAGGCTTTTGAGATTTTGAAGCTTAACGGAACAACTCTAACAAGAGATGATTAGGATTCTAATTTGATTTAATATGGATGATGAGAGGCTTCAATGTCCGCCGATTAATCTTGTCCTTATTTGAACATGGATTCTTATACTTCTTTTGTAGTTGAGGAAACGCAAATATTTTAGACCAGTGATACTTCACCTTCCTGGGCTATTGCTATTGAAGAAAGAAAGGGCTATCACTAACGAAGAAAGAAAGGTTTGTTTTACTAACAATGTTACTGTTAGTTGAGTCTTTTCCCTGCTGTTTTGTTTTTTAGAAAGTTCCACCTAAGTTTGCTATGTTAAATAAGCTCTGGCTATTAGCCTTTTCTTGGCAGAAGTACATTAGCATTAGTTCCTACATTGAAAGAAAGTTAGTGGTAAAGATGATGGCTGATAAGAATTCAGTCCCATCGAGTATAAAATTCAGATTTGATATACTGTTTGGGAGAACTCAACTCTCATGTCTTTTAGTCGTTTATATTCAGGTTTCTTTTGTAAAATGCTCTTTGTGTGCCTATGTTCTTTTGTAAAAAGCTATGTATATCTCAAGAAACCTGCTGAAGCAAAGTATACATACTTAGGAAGTGCAGAAATCAGATCTGCGGTCCTCTATTGCAAGACCTTTTTCTCTTAGTTCGCTAAATATTTCAAGGATTTTTTTTATATGAATATCTTTCTCATTGAGTCTAGTTTATTCCTGTTTTTACAAATTTCAAAACGGAGCTGTGGATTGTCCGAAAACTTGATTTGAACAGTACAAGTCTGAACTGAAAGTCTAAAATCCAGATTCTGATGTTCTGTTTAGGGGTTAATTAATCCTATTATTTTATTTGTTTTCTGAGGTTTCTTTCCATTGGAATATATTTCATTTGAAGTGGTTTATTTTAATTTTAGCGGCTCGTAAAAAGGAGTTATGGTTTAAAAGAAAACTCGATTTGAACATGACCTAAAATCTGAAAGTTAAAAGTAAAAAAAAAAACTGGTTTGATGTGTTGTTTTAGGAGATTTATTTCTATTGATTTCTGAACCTTTTCTCTGTTTTCTTTTTGTGAAATCTCTCTTTACCTATCATAGTTTCTCACAATTTTAATGACTTGAAAAGCTATGTATATCTCAATAAAACCTGCTAAAGCAGAGTATGCATACTTAAGAAGTGCAGAGTATGCTTGTGGATTCGTGGAGGTGTTAACATCAATTTTTGCTTTTCAATTATTTTCAATATGGGACAGCAATAAATAATGTAATCACTTCCACTTATTTTTGGATGTTGTTCTCAAGCCATTGATCAAAGTTAAAGGTTAAAGTCATTGATCCGCTGTCGGTAGTGTTGCCTCTGCCCTTCTCCGCAACCGACTTCTTGCTGATTTGAATGCGTAAGGCGTCATCCACCGCCGAGTTGCTTTCTCAGTTTCATCACCACCAAAAGCACTGCAGGCTTCATAGCTTACTGAGAGTGAGAGCAGCTAGGACAAACTTAAGTGGATGGATGGACTCAATCGATTTTGCAACACCGGCTTTCTTCAATCCTCTGTGTGTACTTTTTCAAAAAAAAAAAAATCTCTCTGTGTGATAGTAGAACAATAATGAAATAGATGGTGAGTGTAGCTACTTAAGATGAATTAGGATATTTTGCCAATTTGAATCATATTTCCTTGTGCCTTTTATTCCAGATTTTTTGTGTTTCCTAGGTTATGTGAGGTATACATATCTATTTTTGTATGTTTACTTGTGTTTTCTTTTTAAGAATTTTTGGGATTCTTGGGTACTGTGAGCAATACATGTCTATTTCTTGTTTATAGCATGTTTGTTGCTATAGGCCACGTTGCCTTTGAGACAATTCAGCAAACAGTTTTGCATCAGCAGCTCAAAAGACCAACTTCATTAAACTCTATTGTAACAATCCAACAATCCAGTAAACTATGTTGTTGAGCGGTAACTATAACATAGGTCTATTATCCCAGACTCGCCTTCATTTGAAAAAATGTACTTTGATGTTCCATGAACAGTGACATAAGTTACAAGGAACTCAAAAATCATAAGCTAAATGATTTTAAGTTACCTCCAATCCGAGAAACATCTTTCCACTGGCCTGCTCTGGCGTATATATTAGCGAGTAATACGTAGTGGCCAGGGTTTTCAGGTTGCAATTCAAGAAGAGATCTAGCTGCCTTTTTTGCAAGTTCAACATGGCCATGTATTCGACATGCCCCAAGGAAAGCTCCCCAAAGCCCTTCATCCTTTTAATTGACATATTTTCAATCAAATTCAATGCCTCATCAAGTTTCCCGGCGCGACCCAACAGATCAACCATACAAGTAATATGTTTCACATCAGGACTAACACCAAAATCTTGATGCATCGACGAGAAGAGTTTAAGTCCATCTTCAACCATACCTGAGTGACTACAGGAATATAATAGGGACACTAAAGTAATGCTATTAGGTTGCACACCAGTTGACAACATCATAGAGAACAATTCAAGAGCCTCCTTACCACGCCCGTGATATCCACAAGCTGCAATCATTGCGCTCCAAGTTACAGCATTTTTTACTCTCATTTGATCAAATATTCTTCTTGCCTCGTCCACACTCCCACACTTGGCATACATATCAATCATGGTAGTCCCCAGAACCACACTAAAACTAAGTTTCTTGCTCAATATATAATCGTGCACAAGCCTAGCCTTGTGCATAGCTCCTAATTTGGCACACGCATTAACAATGTTAACCACGGCAACATTATCCGGGGAAACACCTTCCTCTAGCATTCGTTCGAACAATTCAATAGCTTCATTTGCAGTTACACATTCAGTATGTGCACCAATCATGACCGTCCACGTAACGAGGTCCCTGTCAGCCATTCTATCAAACAGCGTTTTGGCATCCTCAAGAGCCTTACACTTTGCATACATATCGACTAGCGCTGCGGCCACAAAACAAATCCGCTTGCAAACCAAACTTATAAACAATGTGATGGATTAATCCACCCATTTGGAGGTCAACTGTTTCTCTACAAACTTTTATCACAAAAGGCAATGTATAATTATCTGGCCGATCCCCAGACCTTATGTACTCCCTGAAGGTTTTGAAACAATCCTTAAAACAAGAAACATTTTTACAGATTTAAGCTATAATTTCGCCTACCTCACTGTAACTTGGAAATGGTTGACTTTTGCCTTTTTGGGTGTTTTTTGGACAGGAAGAGATCAGCGCTTAGAGGCAATTGGAAAGTGGCAGACAACTTTTACGAAAATTAAGTAAAATGGTTTTTGTGTCAATTTTAACAAATAATTTTTAAACATTTTTATCTAGTAAACAACCTGCTTAACAGGTTTTACTTAATTTTTTAAAAAAATTATTGTAATAAAATCTATTTTGAAATATGTTAGCATGTTACTCACCACATGAATAAATTTTGTACTCTTAATTCTGATTGGTTGAAAAAAATACGGGACAGTTCCGTATAAATGAGCTATGAGACTCTAGAAAATCCCTATATATATATATAAAAGACACCCCGAATCAGATGATGGTTCAAAACCCTGTTCCTTCAAATCAGATGATCTAGAAATTACCATTATACCCCAAAATCCATTAAAGCAAAAAATGGTTATACTAGAATTTGATCATCATGGTGTATATGTGGTTATTACTAGTCTACAACTAACAAAAAATACTCAAATAATATGGAAGCGGAATCAAATCAGTGCTAGGGAAAATTCCAGAGCCCATCACCGTCATGCAGAAAAAGATGAGATTAGCTAATGTCATCACAAAAGCCAAAACCGTTAGTTCCTTCTAGAAACACACTAACTGGCTAATGAATCAATAAAAAAAAAATCCTAATAAGAAAGAGATGACAAGAAACAAAAATTACTAAATTGCTAAACCCTTTTGTCTTTCATGCAAAGACAATATATACAATGTTTTTTAACCCTTTGCATTTTCACTTATGTGACCAGAAGAAAATTAAAGATCTCGAATAAAAAAAAAAGTTTTTTTTTTTTTTTTTTTTCCCCTTCTCTCACTTTTCCCTCTGTCTAGTCAATTAATCTGCCACCGGAGAAAAAGAACATAGTTTTGTCATCTCTACTTCTCTTCTTTCTTGATAGGCACCATTGCGATTAGACAACAGATTCATGTGGTGGTAGGCCATGAAAACCATGGGAAATAAAGTACCAAGTTTTTTCGAGTCAAATTTCTATTCAATGATCTCTTCTTGATATTCATAAGGGACCCAAGCTGTGGCATAGACAGAGTTATGACCCTTCCATGTTAAAACCAACATGTCATCTTCTTTCTTCATTCCCCAGCCACTAGCATGTTCATCCAGCAAGAATTTAACTTCACTAATGGTATCCTCACCAAATGGAACGCTCGAAAAGCCGTTGTTTTGCATCCGTTGCGAAAACTTGATCCCCGATTCCAGCCTTTCAATCCTCTGAGTACCTTCAAATGCAATGATGTTCTCGATTTTGTGACCAATATCGGCCTCGTATTCAATCCTTTGGGTATTGTCCTTAGACAAGAAGGTTTCCAAAGCATCAAAAGGGATCCATAAATAATTAAAACATGTAGTGATTCTTGATGTGAGGCTTAATGCACCTAAATCCGAATCCTCGTCAACTACGGTTATAATGCATGGATTTAAACCCTTAATCGTGTCAAAAAATATATCCCGACACGATATGATCTCATGAGAATCCGGCAAGACACTTCCTTCATTCATAGGCAAATAACGGATCCAATTTTGGCAGTTAATCACTAAAGCCTCATCCTCCTTGAGATTCAGCATTGAAGGATTGAGTTGATTCAAAAGCAAGTCAAAGTGCGAGTTGCATGGGGAAGAGGATGAAAAACTTAGTGTTTGATCTTCTTCTCCGAAGACATGAAACTCAAAAGGGACATCTTTAAACTTTGCGAAATTTCCCAAACGTTGGCCAACTTCTTCACTTGTAACATTAAGCAAAGGAGGGACTTGTGGACGCCAAGAAGGCACCGAGATCCGAACCGAAGGCGGCCCTTCAGACCTTTTAGCAAGCGCATCAATAAGGGTTGGCCATTGCATACAATGAGTTACGCTGAAATCTATAATATGAACTTTGTTGTAACCTTGGATGGCCTTAGAAATGGCACTATTTGATGCACAAAACCCAAATCTGTGCCAAGGGATTAGGTCAACGTACCCGGCGAGCTCCGTTACCGTCATTAGTCGCCTTTGTGCCGGAGAAGTTATACTACTCCGGTTCAAATTCATCGATGTTGGACATAAACTCCCGACTCTTGAGATAAGCGCCCTCAGAAACCACCAGGCTAGCCTTTGATTCGGATCGCCGACCGGAGATGCGACGTTGTTAAGCACCCACATAACTTGTTGAGCCAAAGTAACATCATTGTTTTCGAGGGCACTTGCACAATGAAGCAAGAGTTTCTCTATGCATGCTCCGTCTAGGCTGCCTAAGCATCCTTTAAGGGCTCCAGAGAGTATTGAGCTTTGAGGGCCACTAAAGAGACTATGGTTTTGGAGTGGGATTCCAGGAGTGTTTCTTCCCAGTTCTGCTTTCATAGCTCTTGCTAATTCTGATTACAGTGATGATGAGAGTGGTGGTGGGGTTTTTTTTTTTTTGATGATGGAAATGAATTAGGGTTTTTGAGAAATAAAAGTGTTTGTTTTGTTACATGCCAGTTTTGAGTTTGCAAGGAGGAAAGGAGGAGAGATCTATGTTGATTGCCGTTTTATAGAAAAGCTGCTGATCAAAGGTTAATTTGCTTTTGCATTCATCTTCATTTTGGATTTCGTTACATAAGAATATTTCGTGACGCTTTACATTAAAAAGAATGTAACACAAAATATCTTTTATTTTCGTCTATCAGACAAGTCAGTACGTGTGAAGTTTGTTCGTTTCTTCATTTGCAATTTTTATATTTTTATTAGAATAATAGTTATTTTGAACGAGTAAATGATGCTTTAATTTTGGCATGATCTCAAGCAATATATGATTACGTGATTGGACCTAGCTCGTTGCCTCATGTAAAGTACATCCATAGAAATCACAATCAGACAGCGCTTTTGCAGACAACAAAACCAAATGTTGTAGTGTTACCATTAAGTATTTTTATCGAGTTTCAAGCCTTTAATTGTGTAAAACTTTTCACTTCCCTTGATAAACTTGACAACTAATAAATTTTAACTCTTGTAACCCTTTCATTCAATTTAATTTATTGATACTCCCAGTTTCGTCCCGTTTTAACAGTTCTATTATCTGTTGAATCACAACCACGAGTATAATTAGTTTTGTCATGGTGAGAAAAGTTTGGACTAAAACGATGTTATTTTGATGTTATTTTAATTAGCACCAATCACCATTAATACGTAAAAAATTAAAAAAACCATCAAATTCCAGTTTTCTTCTGAAGCCAAAGCAAACTTTTGAACAAACTTTCCTAGCCGGCCATTAATTTGTCCAATTCCACTCAAGAGAATGCCAATTAGGACAACTCTTGTACGTTAGTGATTAAACTAATGAGCTAATTAAATTTTAATTTCAAGTTCCATTTAGTGATTGATGTGTACTTAATTATCGTTCTCTATATATTTTTATAGAAATAATGTTTAAGTTATTATTCTTTCTGTTTTAAAATAATTATCTTGTTTGTTTAAAATTGGCACGGAGGGAATATATGTTTTGAACGCATTAGGGTTGTCAAGTTAGTTTAGTTTGTACTACCATTTCTCACAAGAAGCCACAGAAAAAGACAAAAATCTACCCCTTCCCCAGGACCCCGGACAAACTATATTACGTTACTTAATTGACTCAAAAATGTCATTCAATCTTCCTGTTGAAAAGGAGACCGTGGAATATACGCAACACTTACTACTTCTCATATTTTCCAATCGTTCTTCTATTTTTCACATGTTAAATATCTATTTTTCCTTTGAAGGTACGTCCTTTTGGAATCATATATGATTATTGCATCTTAAAGCTTCGTTAAGTCTTGAAAAATGTTGTAAGGATTTTTTTGACAGGTAAAAGATGAAGCCGGAAAATTTCAGGGTTCCTGCGCGGAAAGGCAAACCAAAAGTTAGTTAAACAGGTTTCTTTATTAAAAGAAAAGAAAAATAAAAATAAATCAAAGAAGTGAAATCCATCCATATACATATGCTGGTTGTGTTCCAATAATTTATTCAATCATAGAGATTCTCTTTTCACCATACATGAAAAATATGTTAGATTCAATCGGTAAATCAAAACCACAAGTACTGAAAAGACAAAAACATGAGCCTGCAAAAGCCAATATGCTAAGTCATTTCAAATGGGGCAAAATTTAACCAGATGCACTGAATTTTCTACTACCAATTTCCCCAAGCACCACCAGGCTATACTACATTTTATTTTGGAACAACGTAAGACAGATAATCACAATTTAATTTCTAGCATTGGATCATTCAATTGTTAAAATCTCTACCCGAATGAAGTTACGCAAAGACATCAGCCAACCTACTACAAAAAAAAAAAAATGATTTTCAAAACGCATGTTTGAGTTCTACCAACATACCGAGCAACTCTTTAGTATCATAAACTAAGCCACCCGTGGATCCTAAAATCATCATTCTCGCCTCGTAATTGATAATGAAAGTACTTTCTAGTGCTACAAAATGATACACTGATCAAAGTTAGTTCTTCATTTATAACTAAGTTTAATGATTAATTTATCTAACAAGCCTTCCTAAATTTATGTTTGATTACCTCCATTTTTAACACGCAAGTTACTGGATGTAGCCTATAACATAGTAACTGGATGGTAGTTAACGAGAGTTACAAGATGCAAGAAAGACAAAATATTTAATATATGTTAAAAGTGATAAAACGACATAGCTAGAAAGTGGTTTGCTCTGCTTATTCCAAGCAGATAATTATCACAAAAACAACAACATAAAGAGGCCTTTGAATCCTATATTGTTTTGTTTGTAGATGGGTTTTGTTTATTTTGTAAGGATCTAGAGTTCTGTGCGGTTCAATCAGTTATTAGGCTATACATTTTATATATACTAGTGCCAAGTGTATGAATTCTAGTAGGTGATACACTTGTTATAGCTCTAAAGGTTGATGGTGATGATCAAGCATATCCACGACCATAAAAATTCTTCTTTCCAATTCTATTGAAAATCTTAAACTTTTTTCACTAACTCCATCAATTTTGTATATTTAATCTTGTACAGATTATAGCCTCTAAATGCATGTATATGGTACACTTGTATATGTTAGGTACTTAGAAATTAGTCATCAGGGTCTGAGTTGCTTTGATATGTAAATTATAGGGACTGCTGATGTAAATATTGTTATAGACGGCTGATTAGTATTTAAAGCCGTATATTTGTCTTAGATTTGTACAGAATTAATACGATCAATTATCAGAAATTAATTACTCTTCTCCCTAACCCTAATTTTCATTCCAGTCTTCAATTCATCGATTCTTCACCAAAAACTTCCGATTTGATCCTGGAGATGGTGTCAGAGCAGGATTGATTCCTACTCAGTGCCAGCCTATGAAACGATTTGACAGTTTAATTTTTAGAAAAACACTCTCAAAATAAAACCCTAGGATTCGCGATTCAGCTCAGCTATGGAAGCTTATTGCGATGAAGAACGTCATGGTGTGGACAGCGAGGTGACGGTATACTTCAGACATATGGAGGCAGAGGCTACATTCATCCGTTGTTTCTTCATCCATCAGACAACTAGTCAATGGTGGTGGTGACAAATAAGCTCACAGATCTGAATTACATTTTGTGGAGTCACAATATGAGGAGATTCTTAGGCACGAAGAACAAGCTTGGCTTTATTGACGGCAGTGTGCAAGAACCGGTGATTGGACATCCCGATCGATCGAGAGTAATAGAATTGAGTGAATGGAACAGTGGTATCCTGGATCTTGAATTCAATTTCAGAAGATTTGGCAAACAGTGCTAAGGAGCTTTGGGATGAGTTGCTTGAACGATATGGAACCAGTAATGGTCCGCAAATCTATCAATTGAGGCGTGAGGTAGCCACAATCAGTCAAGGTAACCTTACTCTATCAGCCTATTACTCCAAATTAAAATGCCTGTGGGATGAATTGAACTGTCTTGATCCAGTAGCAGAATGTAATTGTCATTTCAATAAGAATATTGCCAGAGAGAATAGGCATAAGTTGATGGAATTTTTGAGTGGTTTGAATGATGTTTACACTGCTGTTAGAGATTAAATTTTGATAATGGATCCTTTGCCGAATGTTAAGAAGGCATAATCTGTGGTAGTAAATGTTGAAAAACAGCAAATGGTGCATAAAATGTATGTAGAGCCTGCTAAGCAAAGTGCTATGATAGTCCAAAGGAAAAATACTGGCACTGGAAATGCAGGGCCTTGGATTCTGGGTGGTTATAAGCCAGGAACTGTTAGTAACTATAAAGGATCATCTAGTCTGGGAAAGGAGAATACCTTCATAATGGATAAGGCACTCAAGAAACTGATGAAATGTGATAATTGTGGTCAGACTGGACATCTTAAGGAAGGTTGTTTCAAATTAATTGTTTACCTTGAATAGTGGGAAGGCTTGAAAGATAGAAAGAAGGCTTTGGCATCAGAAATTCAGCAAATCTCGCTGAAATACCAATGGATCAAGGATCAGGGAATTTGCAGAACAATGACAGTATGATGACTATGATGAGATTGATGCAACATGAAATGGCCAAGATGATAAAGGGAAAAGCACCATCAAATGAAGGAGAGCACATCAACATGGCACATTATCATGACTTTGCAGGTATGAGTACATATCAAGCATCAGGTACTTTGAATTTGTCTGATCTTGAGTTAGCTTTTCTTTGGTTCTTGGATACTGGTGCTATTGGACACATGGTGTCCTTCCTAAACCTATTCTCATTATAGATCAATCATTCAATTTACTCCTGTCACTCTTCCTGATGGGAGTATTAAAGGGTTAGAACATATTGGAACATTCAATCTTTCCAACACTCTTCAACTTCCTGATTGTCTTCATATTCCTTCTTTTAGATATAACCTTCTCTCAGTAAATAAACTAGCCGTGTCATCCAAAATTGACTGTTTCTTTTCACTTCTTTCTGCCTGTTGTAGGACTAGGAGACGAAAAATTAATTGGGGTAGGAAGAGTCCTCAACAAGCTGTATGTTCTAGATTCTTCATCCTTTTTTTTCTTAATAAAACAGATGAAACTAATCTGTCTCTTGATTAAATGGATGGGCTTCATCCGTTTTTTTGTCACATTGAGGAGTAAATTGTGCAATATACTTGAGAAATAAATGGATAAAATTCTAGAAACGGATGAGGCTCATCTGATTTTTGTGAAACAAATATTATTCATTCGTTTTCTCTAGAGAGATCTAGTTTCGGTCGGTTATTTTGCAAAGAAACGGCCCGTTATCATCCATTTTATGGGGACTATAAATCAAGGTTCAAGTGGAACTCCGTCATTGTGTCGTGCAAATAAGGGTTGAAGTTGAACCCACAAAGAATGTATTTCTAAAGATAATGTGGTAATTGGAGG